TATAATCATGAGCAGCAATCGACACGATTCTTAACCCCAATTTAGAGAGTGTAATTGAACTTATTTATTTTAATTTTTGCTTACAGAGAGTAAATGAGGTATGAATTTTCAGCTACTATATGGCAACCATACCAAAAATTAACATGTCCCGAGCAATACCAAATAAAATTAGATCTGATTAATCTTAAAACAGACACAAAACCTAATCAAGGCGAAAATTCAACAACTCTAACAAAATTATTAGGGATAATTGTTTTCGAGAAATTAAATTATATTCCTACTCTGAACTACCTTCTGATGCTCAAGAAATCGAGCACGGAACCTGTAAACGCAGCGAAAAATAGAAGACACGGACGAAACTGCAAGGAGACTATAAATTTGAGCTCGGAAAAAGCTCAGTTGCTGAATTTCTAAGCAAGGACGTAAACGAAAAGGAAGGGGGAAAGTTTGAGTGAGGGGAATTACCAAGAAATAAGCTGAATCAATCCATAGTTGACCTAGAAAGTTCTAGGAGACGGGAATCGATGAATTTGCAGAGAGTAGAGGGGCTTTTCTGCAACATTATATATAATATGTATATATATTTTTGTGGGCGAACCAGACGCGCTTAAGAAACCCTAACCATTAAGGAACAAGGAAAGGAAGGAAGGAGAGAGAGAGAAGGCGGTTTTGGTGTGTGAATGTGTGTAATATAGAGAGAGCAAAGGAGAGATACCCGCAATGCGCTGCGTTTCGTGAAGTGGGAAACTTTTCAATTTCGCGGTACGTTAAATGTCGAGATTACCCCCTGAGCGGCAATGGGAAATCTCGAATACCGCCACGCGGAAAATGCCTAGCGGGAAAGTGGTGAATTTTGTCTGGTCCGCTAATAACTTGCAACGACGCCGTTCTGGGAGAGCGGTGTCATGCTCGCTGCCTGTGGTTTGTTCTAAAAAAAGGTGCAATCGAGTTTTCACAAATGTGCCGACACAGCCATCGCATACGAGTGGCGGGTGCAATTTTCTTTTTTTTCTTTGTTCTTTTTTCTTTTTTGGAAAAAAAAAACATCAAATTACTGGCTTGGACCTACTATAATCTTTCAAGTAAAACTTAAATTTTAAGTTTTAAACTCATCCATACTTGCTCTAACTCTTAAGTCAAAAATGAGTTTCGGATTAAAACTCATTTCTCCAGACTGCGAGAATAAACAGCTGTGAAATAAAGCAATAGAGTGTTTGGTAAACTTTTTTGTAAAAGATCTTTTAGCAGAAAAAGCAATGTTAAAATGTTTGGTAAATTTTTATGTAAAACCGCTATGACTATGTAAAATAACTAAAAAAAGACGATGTTGAATATTATATAATAAATTTTTTATCTTTTCTTTTATTATGTCATTTATAAGATTTATATAAACTATTTATAAACGAATAGTGTACTTTAGGGGTGGGCAAACGGGTCCTGGACCCGCGGGTAGGGGCGGGTATTAGCGGTTCGGGGCGGGTACGGGGCGGGTCCTAATTTTAAAAAAGAGAAACGGGGCGGGGCGGGGCGGGTCTTTGAAATTTTAGGTTCGGGCCGGTTCCAAAAGTATAGAAAAACGGGTACCCGGACCGGCCCGTTTGCAAAAATACCCTGTGTTGGGTACTGTTACTGTCCCAGGCCCACTTCTTTTTGTCCCTCCCCGTGATGGTTCTCACTCTTGAGAACACACACCCAATCTCTCGAACCTTCTCCCTTCTCCCTCATTCCTCTTCTCTGTTTCTTCTCCCCCCATCTCTGCAACTCTCATTCCGGAGCTCGATCGCGCTGATGTCATCCCAGGCCGGCCAAGTCGGAATCTACGGCTACACGGCCTACTCCGCCAGCAAGTTCGGGCTCCGTGGCTTGGCCGAGGCTCTGCAGCAAGAGGTGATTTCTCACGACATTCACGTTTCTCTCGTATTCCCGTTGGACATAGACACCCTTGGCTTCGCAGATGACTTTGCCGCTCTTTCTTCCCGAGACGCAGATGACTTTGCCGCTCTTTCTTCCCAGGACCAAGACTCGCAGTCTCTCTCTTCTTCCTCGGACACCTTCATACTCGGCTTCGTCATCGCCAACATCGTTGGAATTCAATACTCTCATTTCTCTCTCACCCCTTTCTCTCACTCTTTCACAGTCTCACTCTCTACACGTCCCTCATTTCTCTCGGATCTGTCATGGATCCGAGTGTTCTGTGCAAATAAAGCTCTTTGTCATGGATCCGAGTGGTATTTGCACACTCGTAATATACTCAGACCGACATGCATCAGTCACAGATTCGAGTGGTGTTCGCCGGAGACGTGACGATGCTGAACGGCGCGACGGTGAAGGTTGTCGCTGGGCATCTAGGTTTCGCATCGGAGGATAGACAACGACGTCGTTCCCTTCCGTTGGACCCGTGGACCCGGCCCGAACCGCCCGTTTCAAACAGGCCGGGTTATGTCCGGTTCCAACTTCAGAAATTTCAATACCCGCCCCGCCCCGTCCCGTTCCATTTTAAAGCGGGTCCGGTCCGGTCCCTTCAAATTTGGGCCCGGCCCGGCCCGTGCCCACCCCTAGTGTACTTTGACCTCTTTTTTTTATTAAGATATTTATAATTTTTTATTCTATTCTTTTCTCTAATAGTGTTTCTTCTTTATCTTGTCCCTATTGCTCATCGAAACTCTTCTTTTCTTCCTCCACTCCCTTTCCACCCTCCTCCGCTTCAAATCCACCTTTTGCAACTCAGTGGCTCCATCCTCCTCCGCCTTCAAATCTGCCTTCTGCAACTTACCAGCTTCATCCTCCGTCTTCAAATCCACCTTCTGCCACTCACCAGCTCTATCATCCTCTACCTTCTCTATTGAATCCAACTTCTGCACCTCATCATGCTTTCCATCGTCCCCTCCCCTCTTCTTTCAAATCCAATTTATAAAGCTCGTCAAGGACCGCATGATCAAGATCAGATGGTGCGGGATCAAAATCGGGAGAAGAAGGCAGAAACCCTTGGTCGGAATGAGCGTGGTTGGTGCTGGGGGTTTCGGGATCTGGGGGAATAAGAGAGATAGCTTCAGAGATTGCCATTCTCCCTCTTGTGAAATCGGTTTGCGTAGAAGCTAGGCAAGGAAAAAAAGCCGGTTTTTTAAAGTTGGGTTTTGCAACTTTGTGTTTTTGGCTTTTTTAAACCAAAACTGTGAGAAAAAAAAACTGAAGTTGAATGTTTACCAAACACAAAAAAACTCCCCACTTTTTTTTATAACCATTTTTTTCAAAAGCACCTCAGTACCAAACTAGGGCTAAGTCCAACGGCTCTTTTATTTAATTAGACGGTAGATATTCAAATGGACTATTGGTTATCCTACAGCCCATATTCAAATTTATTTAATTTTTAATTTTATATTTATAAATTCATTGAATTCACCGTTTGAGATTTAATATGATCAAAGCTAACAGCAAAAATCTTCATTTAATTAGACATATTTTTCAGAATAATGAATATGTTTATCAACTAAACACTTAACAATGAACATACGACATCATGTTGTTAGACTATGTGTGAATGACAATGAGATAACAACTAGGTTTCTTAAATCACACGTAACTCATTGTGCGAGTTGTGTGGTTGAAGGAATCTGAGATCCTTGATATAATAGGAGTTGTGGAGTTTAGTTATTGTGCAGTCAATTAACAGGAGTACTTGTAGGGTATTCATAGAGGTATTAGAGTCACGATGGGACTTGAACTTGTTATGAGGATAGAGTTTATCTTCACTATTGATAATAGGCCAGTAAGTGTGGAACTCTGATAGGATAATTTGGTGTATATATACATATTGAAGAAGTCTATGATTCCACACAATAAGACTCTCGAGAACTAAACCCTATTTACTAGTATAGATCATCATTGTGTGCTGGAAGTAGAAGACTGATTCACTTGTTCCTTCAATGGCAGCAACATCAGGTAAGTCGTTTTGCAGATTGCATGTAGGGTCGTGTATTGAGGTTGTTCGTGGATGTAATCCTATTACGACGTTGATTATGTTGATGACTTGAGCGTGACTATTAATTCTAACACATGTGTATTAAAAATTTGAGAGGGAATGTCTGAATTTGGTCGAGCAATAAAATTGTCCTTCGAAATCCTTCGAAACAAAGAGAGGCTATCATGGTGATACTGATACCAGTGTGGTGCCATTAAAAACCCTCTAAAGCTTGAACTTAAGTCGAGTATTGAGAGCAATTATGTATATGATTTTAAGATGCGGTGACCGGTGAGTCATGAAGCCCTTTTATAGTAGACTAGCCTCTCCGCACGCACTAACGTGCGTGCGAGAGACATTTTTGCATCACGGGCGCTACGCGTCCCTAAAGTGTATTGTGTTTTTTTTTTCTATTGTAATTGTCATGATATATTTTAGATGTATTGGGCAAAGAGGAACTTTATCTTTATCATGCACGTCTTAAAAAGTTGTTATATTTTTTGTTTTCACATTGCCTAAAGTAATGATTTAAATGTTATTCATGCAATTGTTAAACAACATCATCTGGAAGCAAGTTCCTACCTAAAGTTCATAAACAATAGTAAGTAGATGTGAATAAAAAAAAGTAGATGGAAACATTAAGTACTTGTAGCAAAATACAAAACAACTTAAATGTCAAAATTTAAAACCTACATCACAATATGTACATTTTTCACAATACCCATAAAGTCTATATGTCATTGTTTTTTTTGAAAAGAAAATTGACATCAATGCTGCAATTTCCACCCATTCGTTCCTGATTGACACTTCAAATTTTCATTGCCAATCTACAAACAATAGTGAGAAAATTAACTATTTTGGCAGCAAGCAAACTTCTTGTTTTTGTTAGGCTCTTTTTTCTCTAACGTTTCAGTTACTCAGTACTGAATTGCTTAACTATTTTTCTTTCTATTTTTTTCCTTCTTTTTAGTATTTCTTCTCCATAGGCAGTGCATCTCACAAACATGCAGGGAACCAAAAATAAATAAAAAGGAACGAAAACCTAACAAAGAGGAAATTATTTATAATACATCCATGAAAATTAAAGAAAACCTTATAATATGTTTCGAAGACACATTTGTAGTTAGCAACATTAAAAATAAAATAAAATAGATCCATCCATGAGTTAAATTTTCTTGCAACATGAGCGCCATGGTTGCCACCCATTTGTTTTCACGTGATGCTTCAAGTTTTCATTGTGAATCTATAAACAATATGAGGAAATTAGAAGTCAAACTATAAAAAAACAAAGCATCATTATATAAGTAGAGAGTAACAACATGTACCTTTAAATTAGACAATTTACCCATAGCAACACTTTTACTCCAATTGCTTGAAGAAAACTGTAAATTAAGTATTTAAGTATTTGTTCAAGTTTGAGTTAAAAGTTTGTGATCACGTTTATGAAATAAGTAATAATGTGATGTTGTACCTTAATCCTATGCTTCAACTTTTTCAGTTTGAGCAAGGTATGATGCTTGTAGAACTGTTACAAAATTAAGTTTGAAATATTTCAAACTAATATAATATAATGTACTGCATACTTAACTATTAAAAAATGTTATTATACCTTATCTAGAAAAATTGTATGGTTACGATTAATCTTCTTCCTACACCCACATAATTGGCCAGTTAGAATATTCATGTGTTATAATTATGAATAATTAATTGGCAAACATATTACAAAGGAAGAATATTGTCAAAGATAGATAGGCATGGTAAGTAGGATTATACCTTATTCGTTGAACTTTTTTGTAGGTTCGTATGATGTGAGGAGTATTTGCATTTTTCATTTCTGCTAAAGCAATTTTCATGTGCCACCTATATGAAAAAGGTATATATAAGGTTCAACGTTTCCTCTCAAAATTTTATTTTATAAAAAATTAAGAAGAAAGCTAACGAATACATACTGCTCATCTTCTTCTTTTTAAACTCTTTAAGAATGAGTTTGCTAAGTTCAACAGTTTTCACACCAATGGAGATGCCCCAACCAGGCGAAAAAATAGAAACACGTATGCTAGGTAGCTCATTTTTAGGTGGTGCCATCTTCACTTTTTGTTGCATTTCTTGTAGAGTTCCTATAAATAAACAAAATAAATAACTTTTGACACAACCAAAATAAATATGAAAAATGCACGACTTTTGGGCATATGTATAACATATGTCCCATTTTAGGACATCTTAAAATGCAATGCATATGTTAAAGAGCCTTTCTTAATCACACGTACAATTAGTATTCAGAGATTGTCTATACTTAGTGTCTTCATATATGAACGTACAAATGTTTTTAAACCTTCTTACAATGCAACACGATAGTCTCATACTTTCTTCGCACGGTAAAATATAAAAAAAAGTCACTAACAAACGTGTTAGAAAATGTCAAAGGCATAGAGACAATAACAGATGTCATCTCAGGTACTAAATTGTCAAGCTTTTCTTACTGCTTGTGCTCATTGGAAATAAGAAGGATCCAATTATTCAATCGTCCAAATAATCTATTAACAAAAGGCACTTCAAAGCTTGTCCGGCATACATGCAATAATAGAACAATGACAGACCATATTCTGCAACCAAAGGAATGGAGTCCAAAATTTTATACTTTGGGTCAGAAATGAGTGTCATAAAGAAATCCAGTAAAAGACCACGAAAATCAAAGGGCAGCATTCTTTTTTCTTCACTAAAGCACAAAACTACCATACACTTTAATACATCAGATAAACCGAAATCCGCCAAAACTTTGCTATTTACATATAGAGTGAGATTAAGAAGGAAAAAAATTCTATCCTTAAATAATTTATTTTCCAAAAGAATTACCACTGTGTTTTGGTTTGCTTCTAAATTCCAAGTATGTAGCACACAATTAGAGCAGTAAATAATCTCCAATTTTCTTAGCACCAAAATGTAATTGACTTACACGTTCAACCTATCGAAACTAATTTCCGAAATCAAAACTAAGTACAATATCGCTTTCTGGCATTTCTACTACGAAATTACCAAAACATAAACAAATTTGAGCTTCATATAATCACTGTAAACGCGTACAAATACAAAATTTGATTACCTGAGGGAGTGCTGTCAGTTTGCAATCAGTGCCGAAAGCCTCAATATTTGATAATTCAATGAGCATTGAGATTTTAGATGATGAACGACAGTACCACACCAAGTATGGACATGTAGAAACACCAAAAAAGAAAATCATTGCTAATGCAATACAAACAATGTTGACATAGTTTTAAGTATTTAACACAACAAAAAGATATCAACTTCCAAAAATTTCTTAGCCATCCAGTAGACACAATGTAATTAAATTTACTTCATGCAACTACTCCAAAACCACAGATGGAAGGCGCATTTCTCTCAATGTGGGTGGGGCCCAATAAGTCCAAAACAATCAAATTTATTTGCTACCCAGTAACCCAATTTTCACAGCAACCAAACAGTAATTATAAAATATCAAAAAATTGCTTTTTGGAAAATGAGAATAATAAAAAATAATTCACGTTTTTTACCTTTTACTTTTGCTTGCCTTTTCTTCACCGATCTCCTTCTTTGCTTCTTAGTCTTCGATTTTCCGACTCTACAAAACCCAAAATTGACTACAATAAACTCAAAACCCATTAAAAACTTGAACAAACCCAAAAAACCAAGGAAAGCACAGAAAATATGAGAGTGAGTATTAGTGAAAATGCTTACCAGATCGTCCTTGAAAGTTAGAATTTCAAGGTTTTTAGTCTAAAAGAATGAGTGTGTATTCTTCCTCAGTGCAATGTTTGAGAGAGAGAGAGAGAGAGAGAGAGAGAGAGAGAGAGAGAGAGAGAGAGAGAGAGTAATGGAAGGTACCTAAGGCCACCAAACGAAAAAATAGAAAAAAACAATGTGCAAACGATGGGACAACAACAAAACGGAAATTGAATAAAGAGGGGAAATACTCACCGATTTGTGTGAATCCTAGCGTTTATTTTCCGGATTGCCAGTTGCAGATGAAGAAATCATACAGAAAAGGCATGGAGGAGGGGGTTTTGTACGGAAGACAAAAGTGAGTTTGAGAAAATCATCCAATTTTCCCTTTTGTATGTTCTGTGGGAATCGAGAACGTGCGATAAATGGCGGTTCCATGTCCAGTCTGTCAACCGCTGCAACTGCTGCTCTGAACGTGCAATAGATGGTTTCCCTCTTTCCATCTGGAGTGTTTCTTCAAATAGGATGTGATGTAGCAGTTGTGGAATAATTGATCTAAAGGGTGAAAATGAATTTAAAGTGTGAGTGTCTTATCTAATGGTTGTGAATTATTATCGTTGAGAATTCTGTATTATTACGTTTTTAATCCTATTTTTTAGACAGTTAGCTTTTGGTATTTTGCATATGAAGTGAGGGCATTCTTGGCATTTTGGAATGTTTCACCAAATTGGGGTCTCCCTTTATATATATAGATAAGAGTATTCTAATTCAACCAGAATCTGGGATGTGCAAAATAATTTCCAAATTAATGATTAAAATAAAACCAAATGTCAATATAACACAAAGTTTAACGAGAAAGACATTTTATTGTTGGATACAATTTTTTTTAAATACAATAAAGACAACAAAATTAAACAAGTTTATTATTTCATTCCTCCCCTTTATTTATTTATTTTTATTTTTTATTTTTTTGTGGGTTACCTTATCTTGACGTATTTGTTGGGGAAAAAACTTACCTTTATTAGTTGAGGTCTAAAATATCGATATTATCCCGATATTTCCTTCGAAATTTTCGTATTTTTGAACTACTGATATTTCCGATATCATCAATATTTTAGACCTTGATAGGAACTCTATGTGGTACTAAGTTACTCATGTATCTTGCCATGCAATGTATAAAGTGTAAAATATTGTACTAATTCATTATATATATAAATGATTATGGTGTGTTTAAACTTATTTCATTAATTATTACATATTTTCTACACTCACAATGTTTGCCAGCTCGCTATATAATCAATTTAAATCAGTTAAATTCATCATGCAATGCATTTCATTCTAATTTTTTGTGATAAACTAATAGATAATTGATTAAATAAATATCCTGCAAAGTTTCAATAAAAATTTCAAAGTTTTTCTTAAAATTTCCGTGGTTTTTATTCAATTTTTATCGATATCAATAATATCCCGATATTTCCATCGAAATTTCTGTTTTTAGATTACCGATATTTCCGATATCATCGATATTTTAGACCTTGGTTGGAATTACCATTTATATAATTAGGGTCCCTCAACTCATCAAAGTGTGTAACTATGGTCATTTTCGTCAACTACGTCAAAAATTTTGTCAAAACGAGTTATGTTGGAATGATCATTGCTACAATTGGATTAAAGTTAACCATTGCTACAATTGGATTAAAGTTAAGGGACAATTTCTCCAATTGAATTAAAGTTGAGGGACCAATGGTAATGAATTTTTAGTTGAGGGACCATTGCTCCAATTAAGGGATCATAGCTACAATTTACTCAAAACTATATGCTTGCTTGCATGTGGATGTCCTTTCCATGAAAATATTCGTTATGTATGCGATAAGATAAAATGTTCATTGCTCCAACCTTCTTTAGGGCAATTAGGGCCCTTTGTTCACCTGAAGAAACACCTATGTGCTAAACACGGTGACAAGTTTAGTCTAATCAGGCAGAAATCTATGAAGGAGAAACTCTTTTATTCTCTCGTGTCGCCTTTTCACCACGTGATAATTATTTTAGACAAGTAGCGCATGTTTCAGGCACATGGCAGATGTTTATTGAAGTGGGACATGACAAAAGCTAAAATTTAATTGCATGAGAAAATCTCTCCATAAAAAAACCTTGAGATGTTCCGGCAACCTAAAAAGAGGCGAACCAGACAACCTATCGCTAAATCGTTTTGCGACTTTACAGCATAAAACAGAGGAAATGAGAGGTAAGAGTCACACCCAAGTGCCTAACTAGAAATCATATACATACAACAATAAAACCTTGCTTCATTAAGTGGATCGGCTCTATGAATCCTAAAGCACCAGTCAGCTAAGTTTTGTGCCAAGGCTTCCATTAGTAGTACCTAAAGCACATTGCATCTACCTACAAATTCCTGAACACTCTGCTCTGTGCGTGTGTGTGTGTGTGTGTGTGTGTACACGTGTGTGTGTGAGAGAGAGAGAGAGAGAGATGGAGATTAAACATCAAAGAGTTCATTTGAAAAAAAATAGGATAATTCATGACAAAATCTAGTAAAATTAGACACCTAGAATTCTATGTGGGAAAGGTGTAATACATGTCTTTCCCAATTTCTCACACAAGACACCAATAATCCGACGAGTGAACGTCCTCTCCAATACTCAAATTCAACTGTTGTTGATCACAATATTAGGCCGTGCACAAAAAGAGTTTTCTAGAGCCACCCTAACACATCCGTCGTCCATAACTATCGCCAATTACCCGACATGACCTTCCACCACCAGCAGAAGCAGTAGAGCAGTTCAGCAAGTATTCTCAGGAAAACCGACATAAAGGCACCACACAAGGACTGCAAAGAAAGACCGTGTCGACCGCTCTCAGGTTAAATCAATGAGTGATGGGAAGGGTCTCCTCCTCCGCCCTGTGTATCCACTAGCCCCGTTTGCTCAACCACTGGCAGATTCGGCTTGGTGTCTGGATATACATTGACTTGTGTCTCTGGGGACGTAGGAACCATCTCTGGTACAGGTGGAACCACAGATTCGGGAACAGGATCCTTCATATCAAATTTTGACACGCGTGGCGGCCTCTCATATCTTTCATAACTGGGGCTCCGACTACGGTTGCGACTATGACTTCGGCTATGGCTGTAGCTGCGGCTACGGCCACGGGACCAGCTCCGGCTACGACTCCGACTCCTACTCCGGCTAATGCTGCGGCTTCGACTCCGGCTTCTGCTTCTGTTAATATCCCATGTTCGAACTCTGTCAGGGCTACGGCTATAGTTCCTGCCTCTGCTCCTGTCAGGAAAATCAACTCTATTATCAAATCGTCCCCGTCCACGTCCCCCACGGCCATCCATACTGTTGTACCGATCTTGTGGGCCACTGCCATTTCTACCCCGACCAACATTACCACCACCAGGACCACCAAATCCTCGCCCCCTGTTTCCAGGCCCAGAAAAGAAATCGCCTCTCCCACCACGGCCGCTACCAGCACTGTCCCTAGGGCCCCCACGACCGCCAAAGTTGCCATCTCGCATGCTGCCACGACCGCCAAAGTTGCCATCTCGCATGCCGCCACGACCACCAAAACCACCACGACCTCCAAAGCCCCCATCCCTCATACTGCCACGACCACCAAAACCCCCATCCCTAATTCCATCACGGCCGCCGGAATCCCAACGGCCAGCAGCACCATTAACAGGCCCACCAGAATCAAAACGGTTCATTGGATTCCTATCCTTGCCAAAACCAGGCCCACCACGTAGAGCAATCTCTCGCACCTCTGGAGGCACTTGCTGGTTAGCTCCCTCCAGAACTTTAATCAAATCAGCTGCATATTTCCAGTCTTGCTCAGAGAAAAAGGTGTATGACACCCCCGTTGCGCCAGCCCTCCCAGTTCTTCCAATTCGGTGAACATAGTCTTCAACACCAGTAGGGAAATCATAGTTTACCACCACCCTATAACATGTGAAACTCAACTGTAAGTACAATGTCTTTGAACCAAAGCCGAGGTCTAAATTCTAAGCTCAATCATGATCTTTGTCCCAATGATCGTCATTATTTTCATTCATAAACTGAACATGTTAAATTGGAAATAAAGAAAGTGCATTGAAATGAGTTAACCTTATATCTTTGATGTCAAGCCCACGAGCAGCAACGTCAGTGGCAACTAATACTGGGGATTTTCCACTCCGGAACTGATTTAAAACCCAGTCTCGCTCACCTTGAGACTTGTCCCCGTGAATTGCAGCAGCCCCAAAAGTGCGTCCAATACTACGTGCAATCTGATCACACAACCTCTTGGTGGAACAAAAGACAATGATCTTAGAACCTTGTTCTTGGGATCTCAGGATCTGCTCCAAACGCCGTTGCTTCTCCATTTGTGGGACAACTTCAACGTACTGCAGATTTATAAACAAATCATTTTGCATAGTGAAGCAATAAAAACTAAAAAGGTTCCTACTTCTTTTTGAACATATAAAAAGGTTCCCACTTCACAAACAAGTTAATAGTACAGATATATTCCACCCTATGTGTGCTTTTGAAAAACCCTCTGCACCAGATGCACATAAAAAAAGGAGATCGACCATCACACTGACCAGTTGTATATAATTAGTCTGTGTGGAAGCTTATAGTTGTGAGCCAGAACTGAAGTGTACGACAAAGCTTATGGTTCTGTGTTATAATTAGATTTAAGTTTAATAGAAAATCTTTTGCATAAGTAAGATTTCTTATGTGAGTACTGTACTGATCAAAACTGAAAAAATAAAGCACCTGGTATGACAATTGTAGTTTCTATGATCATAGCACATTAATATACTAAATTACCTAACTGTTCATCATTGCTTCCATAAATCATAGACATTCTCATCAACTTCATCCCTACTTTCACTAGATAATCCCACCCACACTAAACTAGTCCTAGCCTACCATCCATGATGCATGTACTAGAAAACCAATAACAAAGCTATGACCATTTTGCAGGCTAAGTGGCATATGTCCCATATATTAACCATATAAGACAAAGTTCCTCAGATGCAAGGTCTGTGAGACTGGCTTTAAATTTATACTTTTTATCATTATCCTAGACTCTGCAATACACAAAGTGATAGACCTTTCTAAAAGTTTCCAATTGGAACTTTAACTAGTTGCATTACATTATCCCAGAGTCCGTGCACTAGTCAAAACACTTAAAAAAAAGAAAGAAAGAAAGAATTACCTGTGTGATAGACTTGTTTGCAGCAAGCTCATTAACGCTGCCAATATTCACTTGTACAGGATTAACAAGAAGATCACTTGCTATCTTTCTTACTTCTTTGGGCCATGTTGCTGTGTACATAAGAGTTTGTCTGTGCGGGGGTATTTGATCCACGATTTTACGGATTTGAGGTTCAAAACCCATGTCAAGCATTCGATCTGCTTCATCAAGTACAAGTAGAGAAACTTGCCGAAAATCAATTTTCTTCATTTCCAGTATGTCATTAAGACGACCAGGAGTTGCCACCACTATGTCTGCTCCACGATCTAACTCTTTTAGCTGAGGGCCCTTCAGAGCTCCACCATACAGGCACTGGAATCATGAAGTTCAATCACAGTGAATAAAACATACAAACCAAAATGAACTGAAAAAAATGAAACTATCGTATCAATAAAGTCAAGCAATGAGCATCCACCGTGCAAGATACCCTAGAAGCTCGCCCAAATTTCAAAACCTCATCTTGTATCTGTGTTGCAAGCTCCCGTGTTGGGGCCAAAACCAGGACTGTTGGGCCATTCTGAGAATTATTATGGCGTTGTCTAAGAAGAATGAATGCAGGCATCAAATAGCCCAAAGTTTTTCCGGAACCAGTTTTTGCAATTGCAACTATATCCCTACTTTGAAGAGCAATTGGCCATGTTTGTGCCTGAATTGGCGTGGGAGATGCGAAGCCAGCAGCATGAATCTGAACCAATAACATAGGTCTAAGTGATCAGAAAAAAGTTTTAGAATGTCTCGCACAAAGATAGACTACAACCAAACAAATATCAATAAAATTTTGTATTGATAGAAGAGTAAGATGACAAAAAAGCCCATGGGTATATGGTTGCTTACACAAGCAACTTGAGGCAACAAAAGAGGGCATAAAGACATAACAGGTGGAGCCATTAAGCAAGAAATCCCAGTCACATAAGGTGTGATTTGGATGAAGGGCCAACCACCCTTTTAGAAGATGCACAAGAAAGGCTCCAACAGTTCATTTTGCAGCCTCCAAAAATCAGAATAGTTGTTGCATGTGTAAGTGTGCCAATAGCAGTGCAGCGTACGACATATGCTCCTCCTCCGGAGCAGATATCGCACCTGCGACAAGTGAGAACTCATGAGTTCAAAGGTAGAAAACAAATACTGATACAAAAATGGAATGGCATGGATCTCATAATGGATATTTTATATTCAGAGAAAGAACAAATCTAGGGGAATGTAACTTACCTCTCTCAATATCTCTGGAGGAAAACCAGTGTCTTCAAATGTCATGAATGGTGCAGGTACATTGTCACCCTATGCAATTAAATGCAAAAATTGAGGTCATAAAGAATTAGGGAGTTTTAACGAAAAACCCACGATACTGTTCACTTTAACGAAAAACCATATTTTTACGCTAAAAAGTCAAACCTGCTACTATTCATTTTACTTTTTATTTTGTCCTTATCGTTAAAACTCAAAGTTTTCAAGCCCTTTTCATTAGTTTTCCTAAAGAATTAACATTAGTTTAACATACTATTGTGTCTATAATAACTATAAACAATACAGCACCATCTCTTATCAAAACCAATATCATATCGTACCCATCTCCTCAAAACCATTTTCTGTGCTGTATAAACTAAAATTTACGAGCATTCCCACATTCCCACAAATAGATCACAAGCAAACAGAAATACAGACCGATGCAGTAACTTCATGTTGTTGACGATAAACTTCAACAGGTGAGAGACTAGTAAGACTTGTAGGTCTGACATAAGGGGGCTTCACCAAAGAGTTATTTGGGAATGGTGGAGCACCTGTTGCATGACTGTACACGTTATGCATGGAATGACCAGGTGTAGCAGTTTGAAATGGAGGGCCACCACTCATCTCCTGAAAAAAAAAATGACATGATGTAATGAGAAATCAGTTAACTTTTGATGAATGGATTTAAAGGTAAATAACTTACATGGAAACCTAACAGAACACGACAGTGATATAAATTAAGAGATACCTGCTGGCTTTTAGCAATCGGAATAGATGCAAGCTTGGGCTGCTGAGGACCTGTCGTCCCTTCATTGTTACTATTGAAGTAATAGTCATTTCCACCTCGACCATGGAAATTATTTTCATGACCCATTCTTAATCCAACAGGAGGCACATTTGACTGCTGACCGTGTATCATTGCTGGGTCCATTTGACTTTGGAACCTAGAACCATGTTGATGGTGAGCCAAATCAGCCCCTGGTTGCTGCAAGTGACCAAAAGAGGAAGGATGTTGCATGTTTCCCAAGGGGCCGCCAAATTGTTGGGTTGGGCCTTGATGAACAGACCTCTGTGGCATTTGTACTGGATTGGTCCCAGTAGGAAGATTCTGCACAGATGAGGCTCCCGCTTGTTGAAACCGGGATGGAGAAACACCAATTTGATTTCTTTGTTGAAAATCATCTTCCTCCCTCTGGGGGAATGCAGCTTTATATTCTTGTTGATTTGCCAGTGGTTGCGCTTGTGCACTATGCAGAGTTTGCGGTTGTGAACTCTGTTGCCCTTGGGGAGGAATGCTTTGCTGATAAGGCCTATAATGCATCTGCTGATGTGCAAACGGATGCATTTGTGACCCATGACTCTGTGGTGTGTGTTGTCCCAGTTGTTGAAGCCTTTGCTGCCCTTGTGACGCATGACCCTGTGGTGTGTGTTGTCCCAGTTGCTGAGGCATTTGCTGCCCTTGATGCACTTGCGGCTGGGGCATTTGCTGACCCAGATGCTGCATCATTTGCCCATGCTGTTGCATGGCCTGTCCCAATAGTGAACTCTGTTGATGTCCAGGTTGAGCCATTTGTGAGCCCTGCTGTTGAGCATATGATGTCGGATTCATCTGTTGTGCCATTAGATGTCCATGCTGTTGAGAAAACTGGCTCACTTGCGACCCGTGCTGTTGTGGAGCTTGCGTTATCTGCTGTCCATCCTGAGGCATCACTCCCTTCGGTTGCACTGAATGAGCAACAGGAATTGCAGCCAGCTTTGGTGTGGAAGTAGCAGGAGGCAGGCCTGATGGCAAGGGCGGAGGCAAAGAAGCCGGTTTTTCATACTGGGTAACGTTAGTTTCAGGATTCCAGTAGTATAACAAACCCGTGCTACCATCAATCAAACCCTTCCACGGATTAGGAAGTGTAGGATCATCTGGCGCATACCGTGGACCAGCCGGCTCCTCTGTTGCCATGCCTAACACTTATCTACAATCAGATATAACCATTCCATCAGTGCATTGACATTATAAACTCTAAATCAAATACATTCGATCGTCTCGCATATCCCATGGACTAATAAATTGTAAAAGATAATTGTTAACAACCTCAGATCATCCCACAGTTCACTCTCTCCAGCAAATCAAAAAATAATTATTTAGTCTTCTGAAACTAAATTATTCTAGTTTAGTCTTCAAAATTCTGTTCTTACTTTACCAACAGTTTCTCACTTCTCAGAACCTAAATTTCTAGCATCGTAACAAAATTTGAAATTAACAAAACATCATCCTAAACGTTCAACGACCAAGCATATTAAAACTAAGCAAAATTTTAAATACCCAAAATTAAAAAAACGAGGTCAAATCAAGCAGATAATTCCTAATTCGTAAACCCTAAAAAAAAAAAAAAAATCACGTACCTCCTCGAATATATTGAACAACAGCTTCGAAAAACTTCAATTTCGTTTGCGTAATATTCAATCAGAGAGCAACGCGAGAAAAACAAAAGAGAAATTCCGGGAAAATGTTTGGGGTTTGCTTCTCGTCCTCTGTGGGTCGGACTTCGGAGGACTTGAAGAACTTCCCAAAAACCGAAAGAGAAAATTTCCGGGAAAAAGCGCTAATTATATGAGTTGGGAGGTGAGGGGGGCGTGAAATTTTATTGTAGGGTTACGGGGATAAATATCAGCTGTACCTACAGTCCAGAATCAGCGGTGAACCCTGAATCAGACGGCTGTGATTAATTAGCTAAGCTCGTTGTTTTTGGTCGGGGATTTTACCAGATTGGGTTTTTGGTTTGTTTAGTCTTGTTACTATTAATTTTTATTTAGTTTAAATATACATAAGGGCATAACTGGAACATCACGAAAACTAGTTAACATACTTCATCCTCTGAAGTAATAGTGTTTTAAACCAATAAGAAAAAGCAAAGTATAAATAAATAAGGAGATGTTATATCCACTTATACTTTTTTAATTTTCGAATGTCGAATCGGATAAATTAAACAAGAACAATTGACAGAAATTAGCAAAGAGTGAGAAATAAAAAATAATGTGTGGGTAACACCTTCTAAATAAATATAGACCAATGTTACTTTGGTTATCATTGATCATAAAAACGTAGTCGTTAATGTTTAAATTTAATAATAACGCGTTGTTAACAAATGTGTGCACTTCCCATGTCTCCACATTTGATGTGCGTTATCCTCTTAAGTTCGAATGCCTTGTGACAGTCATTACACATTGGGCATCATTGCATTCCAAGATGCCAGATTGAAGTTAAGTTTATAGCATCAATCTGAGCCGTCAAGGACTTGGCCGGGCAATTTATCAAACATGTAGCCTGCGGATAAAAGCGACTCGCATTTGCAATACACGGTGATGAGGTTGTTGGACAAAAAATGATCGGCCAAGAGGCTAGTACCTTATGAAACTCTTTCAAACGCTTCTGTAAAAGCACCAGAATATGTGACAAAAGCGCTTATGAACATAAATGTTTTCCGTTGATGCACTGCCTAATGAGCCCGTGTTCTGGTTCTAATAAATTGTGTTTCTAGGCACCGATTGATGACAGGGCAGAAGAAGAGCCCAAGAAACTCAAATATGGATTTCCTCATTGGCCCCCGTTATAAGCAACCAAAACTCCCCACAAAATAATAGGTAGATCACATATACACCAGATCGAAGTGCAAAACCGTGAATGTCTTTTACCACAAACACTTCAGATCACATTTTACAAATGACTTCCCAATAAATTTACCGAGTTTACGATGCAAAAAAAAAATTATCAGTCATTTTCAGGGAAAACAAAGGTCAATAAAATTTACCAAAATTATTGCTGGAAGAACGACCTACATTGAGGGAAAACTTCTAGGAAACTCGAAATCAGCTCCGGTGGAAATGCCTGTCCTTGTATGACTACAGGATGGTATCTCTCCAGAAGTGACGATACAACTCTTTCCAGATCAATTTCGTCTAAGCAGCCTGCAAAAATCAAAATTTCAGCAAACAAATGCAACGAGAAAGAAGACAACTAATTATAATGAGCTCATATGCTGTCGTGATGATGGCAAACTGTACAGCTATAACAAAACATGGACCTTGCTCAAAATCCATTTCCTGGTCTTCATCTTCTAGTTCCCCCTCTTCGATAACTGTACCGTTTTCCAAAGCAAGAGCTGCTTCAGCATACCTATTCAGAAACTCTTCCTCAGTCTCTTCATATTCATCATCCTCCGAATCCTGCAAGGAAAAATGTAAGTTTGCTAATATCAGATGCATGAGAGAAAATTCAAGGATAAAAAGCCCAAATCAAATATCATCCATTAACTTTTCAGATGATAAAAGTAAATTTTCATGAAGGGAATAATAACAAAAATTATGTAATATTAGCCAGAGTAACCTATGAAAAAGAATAGCATACATTTATTGCACATAGCCTTCTGTCATTAATAGGCAGTCCAAAAATGTAGAGAACTTTTAAAAGATGAATCCTGAAACTTGACTATAAACAAAAAACTTGCAAGTTCAAACCTCATCATCGTCGTCATCATCATCATCATCTTCAATTTCATCATCATCCTCGGTCTCTTCTTCTCCACCTGCTTCCTCTTCTTCCTGCAGTTCTTTCCATCGTATAGATGCTTCCATCAGAGAGGTAAAGCATTCCCGTAACAAAGCACCAGATGACTTTCCAACTACCACCACCCGTTCAACCACTTTTGCCAGTGCCAGCACTGAGATTCATTAACTGTTAGTCATGTCCCAAGCTATCCAATTCATAGGGTTTCAGGAATTTATGCAAAGCAAAAGTAACTAAAATATCATGTCAGTCTGTTAGAGGCTGAAACACAATTTCATTTCCCCCGTTTTAGAGACCAAGTACTTACCAATCAACTTTATCTCTGACTCTGTAGGTAGCCCCGGTTTGAAAGAGCTAGAGGAAACGGATCCAAGTGCAGACATCCAGGTTTGAAATCCTCCATCTCCATCCTTCTCCAATATACCCTCTACAACTTCGGGACAGCATAAATAGCATGATGATATAGCGAGCAGCAAAGGCTTCCAGAGAGGACCAGGCTTGCTTTTAATTTCTCTGAAACGGGTATATGTTGCCTGACAAAATGCAACTGCCAACGACTGCTTCACACCTTCTGTCTCGGATGAGTAAATTGGGGCATGTAGTAGTATATGGATACAAGAGCAAATCTTCCACATTGCAGATGGATATTGTAAGGCAGCCTCGCTTATAAAAGTACCAATGCCTTGTATTATGGAATGCTGAGGAACAGGTGGAGCTGGAGGAGATGGCATTTGTCCTACAATAAAATTCTTCAACCCATATTTTTTGTGTAGACTGACCGCTTCCTTAATGCACTCAAAGATTGACATATCCTCTGATTCTTCCCAAGCATGCCAGTTGGCAATCAGATCAGCCCAAACTAATAATAACTCTGATACTTTAAGCTCTAGAATTGCATTACTTTCAGTAACAGACAGCATGATGGATCGGAGCAATGTTGATGCATAATCTAAGCAAGAAGAAGGGGGCAAAACCTCGTCTTCCCGTCCCTGATTAAAAACAGAGAAAATAGCACAAAGTAACAACCTGAATTCCATATGTATATAGGGAAAATGATTAAAAATGAGCACAGAGGTATTTGTTGTCTAAAGTACAGACGCACAAGAAGTTGGGAGTTTTAAGAACCTAGTATTTAATGGCTCCAATTAAAGACACTAACTTCGGATAGCATATTAAATATGAAATAGCTTATCACAAAAAAAAAGTATATGCATTCTTTGTCTGGAAAGTTTACTAGAAATAAAAACTAACCAAGTGATGCGCTGGTGCAAGCCAAGCCTGTTGCAAGAGAGAAGAGAAAGCTCTACCGATGGTAGCTCGGCTTGATACCCACTTTTCACTCGATTCATTCTCCTCAGATTGTTCAGCCGTAAAACTTTCCCAAGATTGATCTATTGCTGCTAATGCTTCAAAGCCCTTTTCAACCATCTAATATAAACAATGCCAGTTCATCAGTCTTAACACCCTTCCCTTCGGTCATATTCCACTAATAGTTGAAACTGGAAGAATTTACATTCCAAAAAGAAATCGGTGATATTTAGAGATTACTTAGAGATCAGTGGAAGAAATTTTCATGCACTGTGGATCAGGTAAACACAAAATATACAGTGAGCGTACAGAACGCAAAAAAAAAATCGCAGGGGAAAAAATCTCCATGAATAAACAGTACTAATTTTGGGGCAATCTGATTTCATGGGTCCAAATTGGTCAAGCACACAATGATTCAATTTAGTAAAGCTTATTGGATGAGAAGCCATATACTATACTATATACATAGCAGTTTCCCTCTCTTTTTAGCAGCGGGTGCATCAATCCCTAACCGCTAAACATGATATCCAAAAGGATAGATAAACTACCAGCCTAGCAATACAAATCTACATATACCTGAGGCCATGGCTCCAGATCAGTGGGAATGCATTTTGAGATTCCAACAACTAATGTTGAAACAATGTAAGGGATATGAACTACAACATTTTCATGTCCCACCTCCACCACAGAACTGAGAAGACGAAATAAAATTGAGCTTTCTTCCTCGTTATTGCCAATCCTACCAATCACAACTTGAAGGAGAGGAAGCCACTCAGGTGGTGGGTAGTCATTCTGGAGACAGAACATCAGATCAGAAAGATTAATAATGCCACTGAAGAAGTCACAAGGGATCAACTAAAAGATTGAGTTTGTGACCCACATCAAGAAGTCCCACAATTGCCGCAGCAGCAGAAACCCGCACAGGATAACAAGAAATATCCCCATTATCAGGCATAACCAATGCCTTGAGCAATGAGGTATACACATCTGCACTCATCTCCTGAAAACGCGACAAAATTTTTGAATAGTGGGCCTAAAGAAAAGCATGCGGTTTTCAAGGAAGTATAAAATAAAATCAAGCTAACAAAACATCAGATAGCAAGTGATGTGTGGATAAAACTTTTCTCATTTTAATTAAATTACAAGAGTAGGAGCTGGTATGGTAAGAAACAGCCTCACTTCAGGTAGGCAGGAAGCAAGCTCTCCAAGAACCCAGTTTGCAGTGGCAACTAAGTACGGTAAGGAGACTGATAATTTATACAATGGTAGCAACCGAGTTTGAACCAGAGTTGTCGCATATGCAGGTTGCTGCTCTCTTAGAAACTGTATTGCATTAAAAGAATTATAAATATTCACTTGCAGGCTCTTATTATACCACAGTAAATCAAATTATGACGTAACTGGAGAAAAAGTCCTTACATCTAACAAGCCACCATATGCCATCAAAACACCAAAATAACTGTGATTGTCACAGTAAGAGAGTCAGGGAATAAATTAAAGTATACAAATCAATATGAAAGAAGCATCTACACATGAAAAATTGAAAATGTTGGTGAGTAGGAGGAACAGGACAACAGTTAACAAGCTGCATAAGGGGAACTATATAAACAAAGAGATAAAAGAAAGAATTACCGGCACAAGAAAATAATCAAATGTTGGACACTACATATATATATATATATAGCTACACAGGGCATACCAATTCAATATCAGATAATTTATACGAAGATGTGTTTATGTGCTCACTCGTTCTGAATTCTAGTTTGGGATGTATTAGCATCAGAAGGAATTGGAAACTTCGACAGAAATGGAAGCACCAATAGTTCTCCAATTGAAGCATGTTGATTGCTTCTCTTGTTCTTTTCATTCTTTTTACGTTTTGATGATGCTGATAAGCTATTAGTAGAAGTTCCTACCGGAGGTCCCTGTGGGCATAGAACACCAGCTAAAAAAATATGCTCTTTGGAATACATGTATAGAAATAGTTCACCAAGGACCACAAAAGAGCAACCTTTGACACTGACATAACACCAATTAAATTGATAGCACTTTTTCTGGCCGTAAATAGATCCTCCCTCCAGCCAGAAATTTCTTCCTGTATAAAAACAAGAGGTGATGTTAAAGGTAATTGCGAAGGTAAAGGAATCACATATACGACCATTATAAGCTTTCCATACAATGTCAGATGGAAGATTCTTTCGTATGTACTCATCTGCATCTTCATCCCACTCTACGATATCCTACTTGAAAAATTGCCAGAAAAACAAGAGTTAGTTCAACTTATAACTTCAGATTTCAAAAATATGTGTTTCCCATTTTTTTCTGACAATAAAATTTACCTTCTCGTTCATTACCAATGCTTGAAAGATTGCAGAGTCCAACAGAGATGAAAAATGTGGAGAAACTATTCTCCATCCCTGATTTACAATTAAAGAAAAGAAAACCAATTAAGAGGAGTGGATTGAATAAGTAACAAATTGTGCTCCAGCAACATCCAAAGTTCCACTTCCTAATGAATGAAGTTGGCAGAATTTTGGTGATCTTTATTCAGTAAAACTTACTAATCAGGAAACTTACAGGCCCTGTTTCAAGAACACGTGAAATCACATCAAAAGCTAATGAAAGAATCCTCTCCGATAAAAAATCAAGCCTCTGCATGTATAATATTACTTTTCAGTTATAAAATGACAACAAAATGAGCAAATGATCAGATTCAGGGAATTAAAGTTTAAATTCTATGTTTAGAATCACAAATAAGCAAATTGAACATCAACATAAAATAATAAATACAATAAGAAAAATAAAAGTCAGAATGCTGGAATAAGAATGCAAGTCAAAACTTGGATTCAAGATGCAGACTTAGCAGTCAGACAATTTGGAAAACACAGGCATCACCACTCTAAATGTTGATTGAAATGATGAATAAGTAAGAAATTTTAATACAGAACTTACACCAACATTTTTGGTATATTTTACTATGTTCAGAACGCATTTTATCATGTCTGGCATCAACCTGCAAAAATACATGAATGCAAAACATAAAGAATTTACCACAATAACTCTACTTTAATCAAATTTAATACAAGCATTGTGTTATTACTTATCAGAATGCTTCCGGTGTCGAGTAATGAGAGTACAGAAAATGAGCAAACTTCTTTTCCCAGTCTTCAATCTCATCAGGTACCCATTTTGTGGAGTAACCACGGATTCAAAACTCAAAGAACTAAGAATGGCAATTAGATCATGACAAAATGAAGGTAGAAGAGGCACTAAAGCAGATGGCATATGCGACCTCACCTACAAAAATAGCAATGCCACAAAAACATTGAAAAAAGCGGGGCTAGGGTGGGAGATAAAAGGGACTGAGCATGATACATTTTTATGAATATTCCATAATCATAAACAAGATTGTTACTTACAGTAAAATACATGCATTTGCTGACAACCAGAAGGATATTCTCTGCTTCCACATCTGTTGTACCATGAGCACCCAAAGCCTATTTGATAATCATATAGAATCGATTATTGTAAAAGCTCATAAAAGACTACCAAGGGAAGAAAATGAGCAAGGAAGTGTAAACAGAACAACCTTTTCGACAAATTGATGGAAAACAATTAACAAGGGCACAAGAATGTCTTTCGCAATTAGCTCTAGCTGTGGCGGTATTGGCTCCTTGGCAACTTTAGGATTTAAAAAATACTGCCAGAAACAATTTGAGCCCATTAGTGATACTATTTGAGCAAGGTATGCAGCACAAGCAATTACATGCCAATATGAGGACTGGAAACAAAATATACAGACAACCGGACACATGTAACCACATGATGAAAGGAAACTTAAAAATTTAAAAACCAATCCTAGGAAAGGGTAAAATTTGGATAGAGATATCATAAACTGGTTTCGCAACAAACAAATTAATTATGCACCATACGCTACTAAGTACCTGAAAGGGCCTAAGGAGCGCGTGAAGAATCGTAAGGGCATTGGCTGTGGTCCATTGCGAGTTTGCACCATTGCTAATAAGGTTGCTATTTTGAATAGCAGATCGCAATTCGGGTACAAGTTCCGGCCACGAGTTCTGCTTAACAAACTCGGCAACAACAATGATCCGGAACTGCCAGTCAATACATTAAAACAATTATATATCAAAAGCTCACACCTTTCACTAATGTACTAAAAATTAGGATATTGAACTCTGAAATATGCATACCACTTCAACCAAAATTTTGACAACCGATTGTTCGGCTTGCAGCAATGCCCGCAAAAGCTGGTCCTTGAACTCCTTGCTAACGTTTGATTTCGAATTCGGATTCTCGCAGTCCACATTTCGCCTGGTAAAGTTTTTAAGGTACGCTGCCGCAGCGACTTTCTGACCTCGATCTTCACCTCCTGGCATCGAATTAACACATAAATCGACACAATTTTCCACTAAGAAACCATAAATCGCGTAAAATTAGCATATAAGCATGAGTTGCATGCTTAATTACCGGTGGAGATGGAGAGGAGATAGTAAGGGAATTGGGGGAGCTGCGAGAGGCGATCGAGTGCTTCGGTCGCCGTGTGACGGCGGCGCAGTCTGGGTTTAGAGTCTCGTTCAGCAGCTGAGCGATTTGAGCTGCGACCTCCATAGTTGGTTTCTTGACACCAGAAACCCTAATTTTGAGTGAGCTCAGCCGCGAAGTAAGTAAGAAAGTGATATAAATTGCGCGGGAAAGGAAAGCAATAAAAGCGAAAATAAAATGTAAATTACCAATAAATTAAAAATAACGGTGAAAATTAAAAAATATTATTGACTGATTTGCAAACCAAATGGAGCTACATCCCCAACAACTAAAATTTGAATATGTAAAATTAAAAAATAATAGAAATTCATGAGATTGTTATGTTATTAATGGAAAGGGATCTGGAGATCCCTTCCACCAAATTCATCCAATTCACATTTGGGTTTTTGATATTTGATCTAACAGCTAAATTTATTATAACTTTTAAAGGAAATCCTTGTTTGCAGCCGTTGAACCAAATTTTAAATACCCAGATTGATGGATTGGATGAATTTAGTGGCGGAGAAAATCCCTTTCCGTTATTAATCCCGGAGCCAAAGGCCATGTTGCCTTCAAAATTAACACGTGGCAACATCGAGAACAAGTGATATGGGGCCAACTGCCACAGGCCCACAACTCCATACTCCCAAGCCACGTCCTCTCCATGCAATGGTCCCACAAGTCTTTATGTACTCCCTACATGTCTCCTTCGTCTTTCAGAGGTGGATTGTCTGCCCTCCCATTTCCATACACTTCTCATCCCCTCCTATTTGTGTGATTACGGTTAAACCACGTCAACATTTTATATTGATTTTTTTTATAAAAATAATAAAACAAAAAGTAATAGGAATATAAAATGTTGACGTGGCTTAACCGTGACCACACAAAACAGGAAGGGATGCGAAGAGTATGGAAATGGAAGGGCAAACAATCCACCTCCTCGTCTTTCCACAATATACAGAGAGTTGCAGTTTTAGTTAGCGTCCATTACCGTTACTACTTGAGAAGATACCATGACTCACCATTGGAGACACAATCCCAAACCTTGAAGATGAAAGCACCCATGGAAAGATCAAGCTCTACCACTACTTCGATGACAACGGGGCCATCATTTTCTCTCACCCCAGTAATTACAAATAGTTGAGTATCAGAGTACAGAACAAATAAGACTACAAAATAATAAGAATATTATTAAACAAACGAGAATGTCGGAACGACTACTGTAATACCCTAAAAATTTTAAAATATATGATTATGTGGATTTTTTTTTTTTTTGAAAGTGAAATGCCTATATTTGGTTAACGTAATTTTATGAGGATGTATTTTTTCCTCATATATTTTATTGTATTTCTTGACATATCTAGATAGAGGACGATTCCACGAGCGCATATGCGAAAGCCGTTTGCAAGTCCGGATTATAACGGTATAGTTACAAACATTTGAAGTTGTTTTACTAAACTATAGTTTTAAATTAATTAAACTCCCACTATGTGGGAGTGAGAACCAATCAAGGGCTTGGTTTCGGCCCAATCAATTAAAAGGATGATGAGACCAATCAGATTAAGGAGAGGAAGGCAGGAACCAATCAGGGAAGAAGGAAATGAGGGAAAGGAGAGAAGAAGAAGGAGGGGGAATAACCGGGTCACCCTCCGACCCGCACCTTCTACCCATTTCCTCCATAATTTCTGATGGTTTTCCATTGGATTTTCCACGAATTGGACCAAGCCACCACTCCCAAACATTATCTAGCCCTTCTCTCTTCCTTTTCCACCCCAGATTTAGAAGAAAATTGTTGTAAATGGGTAGATAACCGTCAGTGGGTGCGACCGGTTCATGCGAGAAATGCCAAAATTCTGAAGCTATTCCCACCAATTACCACCACCATTAGACTCCCCATAAGGCCTTGAACAAAGCACAAGCCTTGGTTGGGGCAGCGGAGCACCGGAGGTGGCGGATCGAGGTCACCCAATTTCTAAGGTTTCAGCGGTTAGTGGCCAAATTCAGGTATTTTCAGGTCGAATTAGACCTCGGCACAGGTATGAAAAATGTTCCTCTCCTTAAGTTGTACATTCTTAAAAAATTTGGAAATTTTTTAAAATAGTTGAAATTTTCCAGTGAGTCAAGACAGCCGACTGCCACGCACGGCGACACGTGCAGCGGCTCGTGACCAGTGAGCCAACGCTACCATTTTATGCATATTTCGATATTATGAAACCATATTTGATATGCATTTGATATGATTCTCTTGTTTGAACCTAGTTAGTGATTATTAGTCACTTAAATGATTTTCGGAAATGAGTTCGAAATTGAATTTGTGAACTATGAATGGCTTGATCCCTTTGCAGGGTACGTAGGCAGTCTAACGAGAAGGTTATATGCAGCCATGATAAAATAACTGGGATTTAATCTTTTGTTGGAAATTGTCTAAGAAAAGGAGTTTGGTGATTATCTTCCGAAATAAATTTTGGGCCTATCTTAGTATTTGCTTCCAAATATAAATTTTCGGGTCATCACAACTACAAAACCCTAAAAAACTACATTGTGACTAAATTATTCTCTAATGAATAACAAAGCACTCTATTTATAATAAACTAACCATAATCTCTAACAAAACCTAATTCTATGGGGCTAAGCCCAAATCATAAATCTATTATTTTCCAACACCCCCCGTCAAACTCATAGTGGTAAACAACATGAGTTTGCCAACAAGTAGATGTGGATGTAGGTTTCGTTAGTCGGACAGACAGGCAAGCTCTGCAACACGGACATACAGATAGGCAGGCTCTGCAACGCGGACAGACAAACAGGCATGCTCCGTAATGCGGACAAACAGACAGGTTCCGACAAACGGACATACAAGCTCTGCTACAAGCGGACATGTAGGTATGTAAACAGGATTTGCTACAAGCGGACAAGGCACTAATGCTAACAGATACAGGTTTTGGCAAACATATGTTGGAAGTATGGAGCTCGTCACTTAACGACGAGATTCCTATAACCCTACGGCAACAAACAAGAAGACGGAAACTTCAACAATAATCACTCGGGTAGTTACTAATCCAAGCACTCGAGTGACTGCCAAGCAGGCAACATTATACTTTAAACAAATCACATACTTCAGACAAAAATCCAATAACCCAATATAGGCAACCTTATCTTCTTAGCCCATTTTATCAATCAAATCCAATAAAGTAGCCCAACTGACAAACAATGGCCCAACTTATTAAGTTCTAAAACAGTCAATCCCTGACATAGTTAGATATGGTGAAGCAACGATGGTCTTATACTAGCATGGGTCGTACCAACAATCAGGTCAAGTACTGGGAACTTCAGGCAAACACTAAACTATGATGGTATGATGCGAGATTGTGGAGATGTGGTTCAGGCTGACGACAGTTCGAATGATGGGGCGAATCAGCAAGGGTAACCTATGGGTTCAATCTTCAGGTTGTTGACGGCATGGTGTGGGTGTTCGTCGCAGGAATCTCCTGGCGGTCGAGCACACAGCTCCCCTGGGAGAATGGCGTCGGTTGAGGGTATCTGTCGTACTCCTGCTTTCTTCTCGGGCTTGCTCGGGAAGGCCTTCGTCGGGCAGATCTTGGTCGGGCAAGACACACTTCGAGCAAGGCTCGTCGGGCAGTTCTGAAAGAGAAGGACAAAGTTAATTTGAAAGGGTGCCTTTGTGGGGCCTTAGGTGTAGGCCTTGAGGCTCACAATCAAGATTAACTTTATCGTGCTCAGGCGTGCCACTACCATCTTCAGTATGGCAGATGTTGAATGGGTGTTTAAGCTTTGATTGAATATGTATACGCCCGAGAAACCGAGTTAGATATAACAGGTGCCTTTGTGAGGCCTTAGGTGTAGGCCTTGAGGCTTCCTGTCAAACTAAACCAGCGCTTGGATGTATCATATTTGGCCTTTTATGGTTGCCAGAGTTTTATCACTATTATACCTTTGATTATCTGAATCCCAGAGGTAGGACGAACCCAAATGAGTGCCTTTGTAGGGCCTTAGGTATAGGCCTTGAGGCTTCCCATCAGAGTTAATCCTTATACTCGGACCAACTAGACCGCAACATAAAATGAAGCTAAATAGATGCCTTCGTGGGGCCTTAGGTGTAGGCCTTGAGGCTTTCTATCAGAATTCACTCTATGCTTAAGCCTTTTCTACGAATCAAGGTATAATAGCAACAAAACGGAGAAATAGATTGATTACTTGCGCCCCAAGTAACTTCGGACTTCTCGCTTATCAAGGATCGTCGTGGATGGGTTGAGTCCACATAGAGTTCTTTTTTATGCCTTGAGGCCAAGGACTTTTAAACTGATCTTTAAATTACATGCCCGCGGGCTTAAGCCTCAGATCTGATCTAAACTCTGACGTGATTCAGATCGGATTCAAGTGCTGAAGACTCATTTTCATTGTGACTTTGCCAGAAATAACTTGTATATAACTGAGAATATATAACATGTTATTGTGCTTTTAAAAGAAAGAAAAGACAAAGACAGAGCAAAGATAGTCGGGCAAGTTTGAACCTTATCGGCCAAGGCTGAACTTCTTACAAAATCTATCTTTGTGGCTCTATCAAAGGTCTGAAAGCTTTCAGAAGGGGTTGATGGGGAGAAGAGGATACAAAATGAATCGATACCACCAAGAACAAGGTAGCAGAGCTATTACAGGGGTTTGGGAAGGTTTATCCCGAACGGGATGAAGGCTTGTGCTGACTACAGCTTTGTTGAAGGCAAATCTGGCTTGAGCAGAGTTTTGGCTTTTGTTTGTTTGTTTGAGTGTCCTTAATTCTGTCTTCTCTTCTTCCTTTTATAGACAGATTCAGCTTGGGTTCCTGTAGCAATGGCGATTGCCCGAATGCGGTTTGGTGATGACTCACTAGCTTTTTTACATGAATGCCATTAATAAAGTACTTTATTGGGCTGTGCAGTGATTGAATAACCTACCCCCTGTGGTCTTTGAGCAGGTAAGCAGGTGGCCTTTGTAATTTGTGCCCAGCCGAAAGCCTCTTTCCTGCCTCCTAAGTTTTCCTCTGGGCCTTGGGTTTGGGCCAACTTTCTCTCTGGCCCAAAGTTCAGATTTTATCCCAAACAGTGGGGTTGATGAAAGTGCAGTAACAACAGCATGTTTCTAGGTTTTGTGCGGCAATGAGTATAGGAGGCAGTGCAAAAGTGGTGGATTCATCGGATTCCTGGGTTAGTGATGACTTGTGGGTGTGAGCAAGTGCAGGGTCATCAGGCAAGAATGGACACGGGTCAATGGTGCAACGGTGACGATTCAGCAGCAGTGGATGATGGTGTAAAGGCGTGACTTAGTGGTGATCTGATGCAGGAAACGACAAAGCACGACAAAGATTCATCAATTTTTTCTTTTCTAATATTAAATTAAACCCAAACGATGACAACAACAAGACAGTAGCAACAGACTAAATGAAACTGATAACAACCAAAACAAATCAAATCCCGAATGATTGAACCTACTTTGATACCAAGTTGAATATCAGAGTGCGAAACAAACAAGACTACAAAATAATAAGAATATTATTAAACAAACGAGAATGACGGAACGGCTACAAAACCCTAAGATGCTACATTGTGACTAACTTATTCTCTAATGAATAACAAGGCACTCTATTTATAATACACTAACCATAATCTCTAACAAAACCTAATTCTAACGGGCTGAGCCCAAATCCTAAATCTATTATTTTCCAACACAAATTAGTGCCTTAATTAATCATGTAATGTTTCTTCTTAATTTGGTTGATGATGTCACAATTATTTGGTTTGCTTAAGTATGTATGTATAGGCGATTTCACGCCCGTTTGCACGACAGAGCTTAGGAAGATGGCCAAGTACTCCCGGAAGTTTCAAGAAAAGGGAGTGAAGTTTGTGGGTCTATCATGCGACGATCTGCCTTCGTATCTTAGATACGGCTCAGCCAAAAAATGGATCGAAAAATTGGGGGGGGGGGGGGGGGGGGGGGGGGGGAGGGATTTCTGCAACTGGCTATGCCACCCAAACCAACTGAGGGAAGTCGCATTCGTTCCATCGCAAGCCTTTGGTGGATTACTGCCGTAGTTAGAGCGAGTTACAGTTCCGATTCCATTTGAACGAGCATTCCTACCAATTCCATTTTGTGAGTGGATTAAGGACATCAAAGCCTACAACGTATGTTCTAATTTCTATTTTTACTTGACACGATAATTGAGACGTATGTTCTAATTTCTATTTTTACTTGACACGATAATTGAGACTAGTAAGTTCAGTACTTGTTTTTAGTATTGTGTGCTGACAAGAAAGAACGTTGAATTCACTACTCTGTAATATTTTTTTTGGTATCTAATATATGCATGAGATGTACACTTTCAAATGTGTTGTGTTATGTAGTCCGGGTGCAAGGTGGATTACCCGATTTTCGCATATCCGAATTGAGAGATCATCGAGCAACTTAACATGGTAATGACTCTTTGGGAAACCAAGTTCCCTCTCGCGTTCTTCAGATTGGGGGCCTTGATAAGAAGGTACTTTGGTATATATTTTAATTTTTTTAAACGATATTATTTACACTAAGTACTTAACTTGATGATTTAAGGCGTACTGATATGTGTGTTTTTCTTTTATTATTAAGGGGTTTGGAATATGTGTATTAGGTCTAAATTTTGGGGTTGATTAACGTTTTTGGTTATAGGTGAAGTTGAGTTTTCTGTACCCGGCTAGCACTGGGCGGAACATGGAGGAGGTGATGAGGGTGTTGGAGTCACTGCAGAAGGCGAATACGCACAAGGTTGCAACCTTGACGAACTGGAAATGGGGGGATTCCGTGGTCATTTTGCCCTTGGTGTCTCAGGACGAGGCCAACAAGATGTTCCCTCCGAGCTACAAGACCGTGGACCTCCCATCCAAGAAGAAGTACCTTCGCTTCACAGATGTTTGATATAGTGTTGAACATTGTGGGGAAATATATAAGAATGGAGCAATTATGTGTCTTTTGTTTGTGACTAGTGTCCATGAATGCTACCCTTTGTGTGATTAAGTACTACAGTATATGAGAGATATATCATGCATGGATCGATTATGTATTAAGAATTTTATTTGATAATTGTGGATTTTTTATACCAACGATTATGGGTGGGCATCGCATGGGTTGGTTGGGTTTGGATATCATTCTGTTTGATCAACCTAACTTGCTCGGGCTAAAATAGTTCAATCTCATTTTCACCAAAGAAAATGTGGAAACCTATCCATCCAAATCATTCTCAAGCGGGTTGGGTCAATGTTATTGCGTGTGAGGAGTAAAAGTGCAATAGTCGGGCCAAGCTCAGAGTTAAGTTAAAATGGAGATTTGATTAAATTTTGGCAACCTTTTGATAAGTAATTTTATATGGAAGTAGCAAAAAGCGTGGATAACTCAGTTGGAAGAGCGTCAGACTGAAGATCTGAAGGTCAGATGTTTGATCCACCTTCACCGCATTTCTGTTTTTTGTTTTATTTCAGTCGTTGCTTATTTGAGGCTCAAATGAATTAAAAAAATAGGAAAACTGATGAAAATTGCTTGAAAACTTTGAGTTTTAACGATAAGGACAAAATAAAGGGTAAAGTGAATAGTACCATGATTGAATTTTTAGTGTAAAAATGTGGTTTTTCGTTAAGTGAACAGTACCGGAAGTTTTTTGTTAAAGTTCCCTTAAAAAATTTCAACATTCTAAACCCCTATGCATTCAATTCAGTTAAGGTGGTTTCAATCAAACGAAACCAATCAAATTACATTTTTATTCGATTTGGCTCAAGATTACACGTTTCTAGTGTTAATATTAAAATTAAACCAAATCATTCATATGGATTTGATTTGTTGTTTTGTGTTATGAATGAATCTCTCATTGATGATAAAATATATCTTGTATACGAAACCAATCAAATTACATTTTAATTTGATTTGGCTCAAGATTACATGTTTCAAGTGTTAAAATTGAAATTGAACCAATCATTCATATGGATTGGATTTGTCAGTTTGTGTTAATCTCACATTGATGAGAGAAATGGATCTTGTATAAGCTTATAGGTAGTTGGGTTACTTCTCATATTATCAATTAGTTTTATACATGAAATTCAACTTCATTAGTTTGAATAGTTCTTATAACACCCTACACGTCGTGCCTTAACCTAAAAGAAACTTTTCAGTGTACCAGAAACATGGCTCGGTGCATCAAGTGTCATAAGTCATAATATAAGTGGTTGAATTTTTTTTTTTCAAGCCGGGAATAACGACTCTGTTATGAAAGAGCAAACAGACTACGCCCATTCCTTTATGAGTGGTTTTAGGAGATTAGGGTCCCCCCTTATATTCTCCCTCCATTTGCAGAGGTGGGTTGCCGACGTCTTCGCAGGGATATCCAAATCGTAAGACATTATTACCTTCGCGCTACTGGACTATAGTTTTGTTATTTTCAGATAGTGCTTTAAATAATATCGAAATACTTGACAAGTCTGTTTTAAATTGGTAAGTTGCAAATATTTAGTTAGAAACCTGATTATGAGTTATTAAATGGTAAAATGAATAAAAACTATCAATTTGAGAGTTGTTCCTAAAGGGCCTAACGAATTCGTAATTAGAATTAGAAGATCTCTTTTTAATTGATTGTTTTATCCCATTGTAATATTTTAGATCGTTGACTGTATCCAATTATTTATACAATGACACTTGTTTTACCAGACTGATACACTGATCTATCTAAAAGATCAATGGCCAAACTCAACCTCTCAATATAACCAATCATTATTATGGTGTACTTAGTTATAAACTCTATCTTAGAAATATAGTTTAAATGGTGGTATAATTAAAAGATAATGATAGAGAGATTAAAATTTTAAATCAAATTTGCAAACCAAATAATGTGTCATCAATAAAAAATAAGAACATTAATCAACGCTTAAGTAATAATTCAATCATCATTAATCACATCATTTGGTTTGCAAATTTAATTTAAAAAATTTAGTCTCTTTCACATTATCCATAAATAGATGTTAAAAGTAACTTTCTTGAATTAAAAATCTCGGGTTTAGATCCTCTCCGGATCCCCTCACTGGGGATCTCAGTGATTAATGCATAGTAACCGTTCATCAAAGATCGGGTGGCTATAATTTTTTATTTTTTTATATTTTTCACGTAAAACGAGATTATTTTACTTTTAAAAATATAAAACATTCAATTATGGTCGCACGATCTTTGATAAACGGTTACTATGCATTGATCCCGCGATTCCCTGGGTCCGTAGAGGATCTAAATCCAAAAATCTCAACACCTCGGGGAATCCCAACACGATATATCACTGGAGCCACTGAATTCTTCCCTGTTTTTCAACCTGTGGATCCCATCACAGCCTGTCTAAAGGTCCGAAAGGTGTCCTAAATTATGGAGTAAATTCCGGCCAGTGTATCACTCTCTTTACACATTAGGCCTTCTTACACTGCCACAGTAACTAATTTTTCATTTCTCACACACGAACATGTGGTGGTCTCAGTCAAAACCACTCATCACCACCGTCAACCTCCTCCTCCTATCCCTCCACCTCCACCTCCTCCCCACCCCCACTCTCTCCCAATGCCGCACCTCCTGCGGCCCCATCCCCATACACTACCCTTTCGCCCTCGATGACGGCTGTGGCGCGCCCCAGTTCCGCCACATGTTCAACTGCTCTACCGACCTCTTCTTCGCCACCCCATCCGGAAACTACAAAGTCCAGTCCATAAACTACGACAAGAAAACCATGGTCGTCTACGACCCCGCCATGTCCACCTGCTCCATCCTCCAGCCCCACCACGACTTCCTCATGACCCCAATCCAGTCCGCCATTATCCCGCCCACCTCCGACACCGTCTTCGCCCTCCTCAACTGCTCCGTCGACTCCCCTGTCCTCAACCACTACAAGTTTCTCTGCTTCAACTTCTCCGGCCACTCCTGTGACGAGCTCTACGACTCCTGCAACGCTTTTCGGATTTTCCGTTCCGGTTCCGGATTGGCTACTCCTACCCCCAGTCCCGGAGGATTTTTAACCAACGGTACTATCCCCAGTCCCGGAGGATTTTTAACCAACGGTACTACCCCCAGTCCCGGAGGATTTCTAACCAACGGTACTCCTCCTCCTGCTGCTGCTACTACGACTACTTCTCCGCCGTGTTGTTTTACGGGGTACGATACGGTGAAGTTCATGAGCATGAATATATTGGACTGCACGCATTATACTAGCGTGACGAATACGGACGGATTGAAAGGGTTAGGACCGCCAGATTGGGTTTACGGGATTAAGCTGAGCTTCGCGGTGCCGGATACCGGGTGTGAGAGGTGTGCGCAGTCCGGTGGGACTTGTGGGTTTGATACCGAGACTGAAGGGTCTCTCTGCCTCTGCTCAACTTCCTCTAATTTCACTAGACAATGTGGTAGGTTGATATATCAACTTTTATAAATCTCGATATGTTTATATTATTAGAAGAACAATAACAATACTTTGTTACTCAAAGATGAGTAAAAACTCATACTCAAAATTCTTAGTGTTTTAATTACAAAGCTTTATGCTTATAATCATAACCGTTCATACTATGAATCATACTGTAAACATCATTTCTGCAAAAAATAAATTGAAACTAAGGCTGTTTAGTCAATCTATTGTAGCAAATACATAGAAGATTTGTAATGCTTTTACCAATACCGTTCATTTATTTTTAAACAGGTTGATGACTAAACGACCTTAGTTTTAATTGATTTTTTGCATATACGATTTGTATATGGTGATTTATAATATGAATAGTTCTGATTATAAACATGAACTTCTATAAATTGATAACGAACAATTTTGAGAAATTTGAAGCAGAAATTCATACTCATCTTTAAGTAGTTAAGTATTATTCTTATTAGATTGTGAATTTGGATCGTTTATTTAATTAGTTAATAATTAATTTAAACAATAATCCAGGTTCACAGCATCTGCAATATTTTTCGTTGCATTAGTTGCTTGAATTTTACTTCTTGCGGCTAATTTTGGCTTGATTTTTCAGGTGCAGGCAGTTTTTCAGCGGTAGGACGGGACTGTTCTCCCAATATACCATTCCAAGCATTCTTTGTGATTTTGGGGGCGTTGTTAGTCTTTTTGCATGAGTTTAGGATGCCGAATTTGTGATGGTGGTAGTGTTAATCTTTTGTTTAATTATCTTTTACCCTTTTGAGGGTTTGTCGACAATGTTCTCCATGCAATCTCTAAATTTTGTGACAAAAGTTAGTCTCGAATTCCATATATAAATTATTCAACCTAGTAGTAGTTAGTAATTCTATTTATTAATTACAAAATACAACATTTTGTTAGTTGATATAAGAAATCTTTGGCGAAAATGTTTAAAGACATCTTAATCTCGAATATTATATTCTTTATAAATTAATTGTTTACTCTGACAAAAGAAGAGGCCTACACATACTCGTACTTGGTTCACATGCCTACATAAATGACTCCGAAACTTTCTTATATGTGACATGTAATGAATTTCAATATCTTTTAAGCATCGATGCAGAACATTCATTTTTCAATGTGAGATACTCTCGAGTACTACTCAAATTCACAACCCTAGTAGCCATATGCTTGAATGAAGTTGGATGACTTTGACATTTGATGGTGAAGGATAAGATGTAAAACAACTAATTTAACGTCAAATTCTAGCTTTTCAAAAACAAAAGAAAAATGCATTGCCTTTTGCGAGTTTAGTCTTTAGTGTAGAATTGAACATTGAGAATGAGAAATGCTAAGAGGATTTTTAAAAAAAAAATGAGATTCTCCATATACTCTCTGTCACCTCATAATTTAACGTCAATTTTTGTACCAACATTATAAAACATCATATCAAAAACATAAGTTTGTAGAGAGTCTAAAGACATCCCTACTTTTTAAAAAAGTCACATTAGCATTTCTCTTGTAGATTTCCAAAGGAATTTCTCAAATTTGAGTAGCCTTAAACCTCATCGAGACAACAAAATGAGTATGTAATTATAAAATTTCTATACAAATTACACAAAATCCAACATATATGTGTGTACATACATACATACATACATACATACATATATATATATATATATATATATATATTATAAGGATTAAGGTCCCATTTCAGGCCGCTCCTCCACTAATCCACTTTCTCTTTTGAGTTTTGATCATCAGACGTTGTTGATGTTTGAATTCAAATTCCCACCCTAAACTCTTTTCTCTTTAATCATCGTTTTGGCCATAGCTGAATCCCCCATCATCATTATGTTCAAATCAACTCAACATCCTTTTTCTACGGACCATCATATTTGCGCACACTTTTTTGTTACAAACTTCCATGATTTTCCTTAAATTAATTATAGGTTACAAGATAACACACGATTAATTTACAAGTCAAGTGAACGTTCAAGTTGAGTTATGCCTATTAGTTCTTACAACAAAACTTGGGTTAAACCGTCTGACCAACTAGGTGATTCGAACATTTAATACGAATGAGCAATTCGATAAGTTGTCATTGTAATTTTGTTATATTTTATTTAAAAAAACAACGTGACGTCATTTTATTAGCCAATTGGTTAGGCATACTGAACCATGTTTCTCTCAGCTCTTAGTATATTATGGGTATTTATTTTCCTAATTACTAAGAGAGATATCAAATTTGAATCCTCCATCCTCGTTGGTAAAAAAAAAAAGAAAAATACAAATTAGGGTAATAATTGACTTATAATTCAAAAAAAAAAAAAAATTAATTCAACATGCATAGCTATAACTAAGTTGACTAGAACAATGTCTTCTCCTTGCAACCAAGTTCGAATCACTTTTGCGACAATATAAATTAGATTAGAATATTTGGTTTATTTAAAAAGATATATATATATATAAGAAATTTTTAAAGGAATGGATACCCATTTTTTTTTTTATAAAAATAGGGATTAGTTGTGGGGTCCACATTACGTCGAACCTTAACGATCCGAACCGTCTATTTTTCAAGTTGCACCTCATAGATTATCCTTACAAAATATTAGCCAAATCAGAAATGTTTAAGACATTTAATTGGGTACAAAGAAATTAACGAATACTTTGTTATATAAGAAATAATGAAATTTTATCTTGATAATTAAATAGACAAATAATTTCAGATTGAATTGAATTTTTGCAAAAATAATTTATGAATCAATACTTATAAAATGATAATTTCTTTGCATAGACGGCTATATATATAATTGGGGTCAATTGAAAAAGACAAAAAGAGATGGAGCGTCCCGTTAACAATTCAAACGGGCGGGGGTAATCACTGAGCTTTACCAATTTCAAATTCCCACCACTCTGACACTTTCCACTCAAATCTCAACCCACTTCTCTCCTTCCCACCCCCCCAACGGCCAAAAGCAAACCCAAACCCCCCAAAACGTCACCGTATTCTTCGTCTTCTCCGTCGAATCATGGATTCAAAACTCCGTTTGTAATACGGAAACAAACACAACAATCCAGCTTGTTTCACTGAAGCTCCGAGCTCCCTCAGTATGTCGTCGAAAGAGAGCTCAACTGTTCGATTCCCAGCCCGAAACGTCGCGAGGAACTCGCAATCCGAACCGAACGAGAACGAATTCGAAACCGCGTCGAATCCAATCCACTTTCCACCTCCAAGAACGCCTCTTAACAGCATTGCAGATCCAGCCCAGCTGCAGAAGGAACTCCATGAGTTTGATTTCGATTCGCAACCAAAGTTCGAGGCGATTCGATCCGGTCGGTATTCGTTATCGTTGGATAGGAAGATCGAAGCTCCGGAGAAAGCTGGACATGGTGGAGGTCTCAGCTATGGAACTCCTAGGGTTTCGTCAGGTCGCGGAGGGAAGGCGCACTCGGAGCCAAACTCGGCTCAAAGCACTCCGGCAAGGACCAGTAGAGCTTCCATTGGTGGAGCAATGGGAGGTTGTACCGGAAGCAAAGCTCTGCAGTACAATGGAGGCAGAGCAGGGAGCTGTTCTAGAATCTCCCGGGAGGTTTCTGTGGTGAATTCCGAGGTTTTAGCTCAAGTTCCGCATTTTGAGCTAGCGGAGGACTCTTCGTTCTGGAACGATCACAATGTGCAGGTTCGGAGATTGGTTTGGGTTTGGTAATTGGTATCAAAGTTTTCTGGAGTTTGATTGGTTTGATTGGTTTTGAGTTCAGGTGCTGATTCGAATTCGGCCATTGAGTAGTATGGAGAGAGCTTTGCAAGGGCAAGGCCGGTGTTTGAAGCAGGAAAGCGCGAAAACTCTGGTTTGGCATGGTCATCCGGAAACCAGATTCACATTCGATCACATTGCATGCGAGACAATATCACAGGTTTAGATTTCAAGCTAGGGTTATGTAAAATAATACTTAAAATTTATCTGTTTTAGTTTTTACTGCTATCTTTAAAGTAATGCTATGTCAAAAAATGGACCTTGATGTTTTATTATTTGGCGTCAATCCATTGGAAACTCATTGAGTGTGTCGATTGAGTTTGTCGTAGGAAAAGCTGTTCAGAGTTGCTGGGTTGCCCATGGTGGAGAATTGCTTGTCTGGTTATAATAGCTGCATGTTTGCTTACGGTCAGGTATTTCGTCGGAGAAGTTAATAGTTCGGTGCATGGTGTGGTTTTTTTGCTGGATAAGTTACACTCTAAGTTTCTTGTTTGCAGACGGGTAGTGGCAAAACATACACAATGATGGGTGAAATATACGAGGTTGAAGGGCAGCTCAATGAAGATTGTGGGCTTACTCCACGCATTTTTGAGTATTTGTTTAAGAGGATCAGACTGGTAGGCTGTTCTATCTTAATCTATAGCTAAAATTTATCTTTTATTTGGGTTTGATAATTTATCTTTTATTTGGGTTTGATGTCTTACTATAATTTATTCGTGCAGGAAGAGGAAAGCAGGCGGGAGGAACAGCTGAAGTACAGCTGCAAATGTTCCTTTCTCGAGATTTACAATGAGCAGATAACAGATCTCTTGGAGCCTACATCAACTAATCTACAAGTAATTAACATCTTTTCAAATGTTCATGCTGCAATTTCCACTTAGCATTGTTTTGTTGAGCAATAAGTAAACGTATCTTCCATATTGTAGCTCAGGGAGGACTTGAAGAAAGGGGTATATGTTGAAAACCTTACAGAATACAATGTGAGGAATGTTAATGATGTTGTCAAGCTCCTGTTACAGGTGGGACTTTATGATAAATGTTATCTAATGAATCACTAACTACACATTCGGGTGTGAGTATGATGCTATATATTTGTTTTCTTAGGGTGCTTCAAACAAAAAAATGGCAGCAACGCAGATGAACAGTGAGAGCAGCCGATCCCACAGTGTTTTCACATGTATCATAGAAAGCCGTTGGGAAAAGGATTCCATGACCCATTTTAGATTCGCTAGGTTGAACTTAGTAGATCTAGCTGGCTCAGAAAGGTAACTACCATCTTCATAATTTATTCTTTTTTTGTTTAATATTTTATTCAAGGCTTATCTGCTGGCTGACTTGCTTATTCATTTAGGCAGAAAAGCTCTGGTGCAGAGGGAGATCGTTTGAAAGAAGCAGCAAATATCAACAAATCATTATCAACTCTTGGGTAATTATTTCAAGGACCTGTTTGGTGTTCTATTATACTTTTAAATATTTCCTTCCATTTTCTGCTTTCACAAGGCCAAATTCAAATGCCAACTTGGTGATTAGTATAATTTCTAGAAACACATAAAAGATGGGGTCTGTTTGCACATGGTTGAATTAGTCGTATATGCCTCTATTGCTAGTCAGACTTTAGTTTGGTTTTAGTTGGTTAACCTATATTACTTTTTGGTTTTAGCTTGGTGATAATGTCTTTGGTCGACTTAGCACATGGGAAACATAGACATGTTCCCTATAGAGATTCAAGGCTTACATTTCTTCTTCAGGTTAGACGCCAAATGCTCTGGAACCTAAGATATTTTATGTCATTTCGTAACACTATGCATACTTGTTCATTTTAGTGCATCTTCATACGTAATTGGTCTACGACTTTGGGATGCAGGATTCTCTGGGTGGGAACTCAAAAACAACTATAATATCGAATGTCAGCCCATCAATTTGGTATGTGTTGATTCTTTCCTAGTTCTAAATTACTTTATGTTCTTATTCTTCTTTTTGTTTTCCTTAAACTGACCTTGTCTTTCCTTGTAGTTCTGCAAATGAGACACTTAGCACTTTGAAGTTTGCCCAGCGTGCCAAACTCATCCAGAACAATGTACTTACCTCGTACACTGACACACACACTTTCATTCTCTTTTTAGTTCTTGACATTCTTTTCCATATTTTTCCAGGCTAAAGTGAATGAAGATGCTTCAGGTGACACAACTGCACTTCAGCGACAAATCCAACAGCTGAAGGCATGAGTTATATTTGCAATTTTGTGAAAATTTTAACCTTGAACATCTAACAAATGGTATAACTGAAGTATTGAACCGTTACAGGGCCAGTTGTCCATCCTAATGATGCACCATAACCTCTCGAGGTCTTCAACAAGTTGCGTGCCAAGTAGTGAAGAACCTAGATTCAGTGACTTGCCTGAGAAATATGATGACTCTCAAGAAGAAAACATGGCAACTAATAAGTTACCAATCATGCAAAGCAAGAAGGTAATTTTATTTTCCACATAGAAGTCATTTCCTTCTAAAGAAAAATTGTATGATGCAATGCCACTATGGAAATGCATTCTAACACAAATTTAACAGATGAAAAGCATGGAGACTGTTTTAGTTGGTGCCCTAAGAAGGGAAAAGATGGCAGAACATGAAGTCCAGAAGTTGGTGGCTGAAATTGAACACATGAACAACTTGGTGTGTTTTGCTACAAGTAGTTATCTATAGTTTCCTATCTCTGTTAAGTTCTTGACTATTCTGTGTAAAGGTTTTTCATGATTATTAATGTCTAAATAGCAGTATGTGATGCGATTTATTATTGACATGGTATTTCTGCAGGTTTGCCAAAGAGAGGAGGATGTTGGACATAATAAAGTGATGCTAAGGTTTCGGGAGGACAAAATTAAACGATTTGAACTGTTGACGGATGGAATGTTGTCTGCTGAGAAGTATCTTATGGAGGAGAACAAGGCTTTACTGGAAGAGATTCAGCTGCTTCAAGCAAGAATTGATAGCAATCCAGAATTGACCCGATATGCTGTGGAGAACTTTAGACTTCTTGAGCAACTTAAATTGTAATTTGTATATTGCTCAATTCTGTAGATGGTTGCTCTTTGTCTTCTTTTTGGGTGGCAGTGACTCATTTTGCATTATTCTTCATGCCAGGTACCAAAACTTTCACGAGCATGGAGAGCGAGAAACATTGCTAGCTGAAATATCAGAATTACGCAATCAGGTCCATAAAATTCTCCTCCTTCCAAAACTGCCTCATGCACTCTAAGGTGGCTATCTAAAACATGTTTTATTTGCAGCTTCTGGATACACTTCAAGGAAAGCTTCCATGCTCAAATGAAGATCAGGTTGGAAAACACCTTTTGGTTAATAATAATACATATGACCTTTTAGAAACCTCCAATTCTTAATGTGTTTTCTTTGAAGAGTGCAGAATAGTGATACCATAAGGGAACTGGAAGATTGCAGGATCATGAATTCAAAACTGATTAGGTATTTTTCTTCATCAAAATACACTTTTAAATGCATTTTGGATCTGCTTTGTTTTTTTTTAATCAATTAATTTCAATGTGTTCTCTAAGTTTCCACTATAATCCTGCTCCTTTCCCTGGCTACCAAAAACATACGGCAGAAAGGAATCTCATCCTTCCTCCACTTGATAAACACTGGTCCTGTCACTACTTGACAGCCATATATGTGGACATTCTATTACCATAATTTGTCTAGTTACTTTCTGCTGCTATTGATACAATTTAAACCTATCATATTAACTATGTGAAGGCAAATGTCTTTCGCTGTTTTGGTTAAAAGTGACATGTCACCATTGCTCATTATCCTCTTATGATTTTGGGTCTGCAGGGAAGTAGATGAATTACAACTTGAACTGCAAAAGCATATGAACTCCAGTCAGGCTACCTCGGGCTCTGTAAGGATAGCCTATAAATAGTTGGAAAGAAACTGTTGTTTAAATGACGTAATAACCTTTGCGTATGTAGTTGATCGACAATCTTTGCATATATGCAGGTCAGATATTCTTTCTCCAAGGAAACTGAGGAATTCAGGCAATCAGATAAATATTCAATGGTAAGTGAGATATATCAATTTGTTTCCAGCCTAGTATCCAATTAGTTTAGATCGGTGACCATTCTTCAAATACTGGAGTTATTTTCAATTTTACATGATTTTTTTTATCTTTGTTGCTATATCCCAGTTCATTTTCTGTGCATTTAAACCAGTGTATTAAAATCATGAGGTGTGGGCGAGGCGTCTAAGGGATAGCCCGGCCTAGGTGTGAGGCGTGAGGCATGAGGCGAAGCCTCACGGGACCTAAATTTTTTAATATATACACTGAGCGTACACATATCTTATATTAAAAAAAAGAAGATTATTAATCAATAATCACCCTGAGCACACACATATTATAAATATATACACGCATATATATACATATATTATATATATATATATATATAATAGAGGATGAAAAGCACAATGAGCACACATATGATATAACAATGCACGCAGACAACACACACATCAATTATATAAAAAAAAAAAATCAGAAAAAAAAGGCAGAGAGACGATAGTGCAAGGAAGAGGTATGAGGCAGTTAAAACCTACCCAAAATTTGGGTTCTCACTCACGGCAGCAAGAAGAAATTCTGCGCATGTTATTAATTTTAAATGAGCTAGAGAGCAACTAGTTCTAGACAGATTATAACCTACATAGACATCACGTTGTGTTGCACTTTGCCTTCTCGGAATCAAATTTATGATCGGCAACCACTTTTCAGGTTGAAACCTTGTCTATAAGAAGTGACTCTGGAGATGAAATAGCATCTTACACTCAGGTATGTGATGAGGTTGTACAAAACCATGTGATTCATGTAGATCTAAATGTAGGTGATGATAATAAAAAAAGAGTAAATGGATGCTAGATTGTTGCGGGTTCATTTAATAATTATGTTACATCATGTGCAGGAGGAAAGCTGCAGATACATGGAAGTCTCATGCAACAAGGACAAATTAGAAATCCAATCTGAGCTGAAATGTGAAAGTCATTTTCTGAAATCAGGTGATATACATAAAGACAACAAGGGCATGATAATGATGATCACTGAAGACGTTGAGAGGAAGGCTTTGCAAGCTAAGCTGGACAAAATGGCTAAGGACCTTGAGGAGGTGAGGTTACTTAATAGCCACTTTCAAGAGGATCAGCTGTTACAGTTGTCTCACCAGAAACAAACCGAAACAGTCTGTGAACAGGTTGAGATGGAGACAGCGAGAACAATTCTTCATTTACAGGAAGAGGTTGCTGCCCTTCAGTTTGAACTTGATGAGAGATTACAGTGCATGATTCAGGAAAATACAATACTGAAAAACACAATTGCAGCAAAAGAGGATCAAATGAGAACACTGAGTGGGGAGTGGGAAAAGGCAACCTTAGAACTAACAAGATTCCTCCTAGATGGTTCTAGATCCCTCAGAAACGCCTCCAGCCAAATAGAAACTATTGCTTGTTCATTTCCTCAAGCTAACATTTGTGTCAGTGAAGATGTCCAGAGGGCTGCCAAAGTTTGCATGGAAAAAGAAGAAACAATTGAACTTCTACAGAAGAGTTTGGAAGATGCGCGAATGATGGTAATGGAAATGGAACAGAAGTTAAGTTCCTTGAAGGGAGCAACAATGGCTTTAAGTGAACTCCAGCATTTGGATAATGATGAAAGCACCAAAGAGGCAATTCCCTTCTGCATGCTGTCAGATGAGCAGACCAACATGATTGAGATGCTAGAGAGAAAAATCATATATAAGGAAAGTCAGTTCAAAGAAGCAGAAAAATGTGCCAATGCTGCGTTCCTTGTAATAAAATGGCTTATGGATCGTAATGCTAGTTATGCAACGGAGAGAAAGATTCCTATCTCAGTTCTAGCTATACCAGCCAGAATGCCCAACCACACAACTAGTGACACAAATGAAAATGCTTTAAGAGAGCCTTGCAAAATTTCTCAGTCTTGTATGGTTGAACCGCTATCATTAGAAGCACATAAGTATTTGAAATCTGAAAATCTTTATCACATGCTGCATGAAATAAAGAATGAGCTCAGTGTAGCAAATGGTAGATTGAAAACTACTGAAGATTTCATTTACACAATAAATGAGGATGAAGATAAATGGAGTACTGATAGTTTGACGTCCAGCTGTGATACTTCAACAGAAAGTTCTTGTTCTCTTAACCAATTTTGGGCACTTGAAGGGAAAACGGGGGAACTAAGAGTTGAAGAAGGCTCAGTGCTTCAGTCCGCTGATCATGATCCAGAGGAGTCAAAGAAGCTCTTCAAACATTTCACTCATTCTGAAGGAGAATCATTCTGCTTGAAAAAAGAATTAGAGATGACACGTGATGCTTTCCACAAACTCTCTGTTAGGCTAACCACACTTGTTAGTGAGTTGGACATTGGAGGTAGTTCTCAACCAGCAGGTATATTCTTCAGTGAGTTTAAGTTTTTAAAATAATGACCAGAAGCATACATTGATCAGGGGACTTAATCAGCTCTTATTATTATATGCAGAGTTGAAAGAAATTGTTCCATTGTTTGACTTGAGGATGGAGAATGCTGATGCAGGGTGTTGTATTACAGAAAAGGTACATTAAAAATTCTCTCGATAGTATCCGAAAATAATGTGAGGCAACTATTTGTTAAAATGGGTTGTATAATAGCACTTTCATAATCAATCTTTTATTAAGAAAAATGCTAGTGAGTAAGATCATTGTTCTGTGATGTGCAGGTAGCTGCCGATCAGAAGAGTGATTTTGCTGGTAGCTTCTTAAGCAAATTTGAAGAAGCGCATGCAATGATAAAAGAAGCCGATGTTATGTTAAATGCCTTGGTGGAAGCAAATGAAAATGCAAAAGAATTGACTGGGCTGTGGAAGCAAGCTGGTGAGGATCTGATGTTAGAGAGAGCAAGCTTTACTGAAGAAGTTGAACATCTCAAATCTTCAGTACGTCTAATAGAAAGAGAGAACGAGCTACTGCAGGATCAATCTCATTATAATTTGGTGGAGATAGCAAAATCATTGTCTTTGCTTGAAGAGTGTTTTATGCAATTAAAAAGTGATGTGGAGGACAAGTTCAAAGTAATATATGCTGATACTTCATCCATGGGAAGGGAGATACACTGCTTTATTAGCAATTCAAGATCATTGCTTGAAGAACTATGCTCTGAGAGATTGGAGAAAGACTTTTCCACATCTGTCCTTCATCAGTGTCTCATTGGAGAGCTTATCTCCAGAATATCATGTTCTAATGTTGAAATCAGTTTCCATCCATTCAGACAGCAAGAAGGCTGCTCAACAACAAATAAACTGCAAAGGATATCGTCAAGTTGTGAGGATGGCATAGTGCGTACTAGTAAAATCTCCAAAGATGATGCACATCAAAGAGGAACAAATTTGAAAGCCGGTGACTTCAATTTATCCCACAATACTTTGATTGATGAGAATTTAGCACTGAAGGAAGAATTGCAACGGAAAGAGGTTCTACTAGAGGGCTTGCATTTTGATTTTAGAATGTTGCAGGAATCAGCATCCAGCACAAAGGATATAAAGGATGAAACTGAAAGGCTGATGAAATCTTTGAGCCAAATCCAGAATGAACTAGAATTAAAAACATGCCTACTTGATGATATGTTGGCTCAACATGAAAATCTCGGGGGTCGTCTCACTGACACTGAAAAGGCTCTGCTTGAATCAAATTTTAATCTCGAGCAGGCCACAGAAACAATCAACACTCTTTCAGAGCAAAACTGTGAGTTGAAAGAGCTTCTAAAAGATCTCTATCTCAAAATGTCTGAAGCCGAAGAACAACTGGAAGAGCAGAAGGAAGTGGTGAAAGGTTTGGAAGAGGAAATTATTCATTTGACTTCTTCAATGGAAAAAAAATTACTCTACTCAGTTGAAGGCTTTGAGGATGATTTGAGAAGAGTCATCAGCGAGAGAGACCAACTCCTAGAAGAGGTCCATTCCCTGAATGATAAACTTGAGATGGCATATGCAATGGCCGATGAACATGAAGCTATATCCGTTGAAGCTCGCCAGGTATGTGTTTCATGTTCCTTCCTTTGTCATTTATCAAAGTTTGGATTGCAGGTGGATTTATCATATATTGTGCCAATATTGTAGGAATCTGAGTCAAGTAAGATGTATGCCGAACAAAAGGAAGAGGAGGTTAAGATTTTAGAACGCTCTGTTGAGGAGCTTGAATGTACCATCAATGTATTGGAAAAAAAGGTTAGCTCCCTTGGCATTTTTGTCTCTTTATTTAATACGTGAACATCAATGGAGTGCTAGTATCAACAAATGCTCTTTGAGGTATTGACATGTTTTGGTTATTGGTTTCAATTCCAAAAATGGTCCCTTCTTTTAGGTATATGAGATGAATGATGAGGTAGAAAGACATCGGTTAATCAGAGATGCACTAGAACTGGAACTCCAAGCTTTAAGACACAGATTGTATACAGTTGAAAATTTCGGTGAACATATGGATTCAGAAAACATAAACGGTGAACAAGCTGAAGATCTGATATCTAGGTATTGCTTGATTTCTCCGTTAAATTCTAGTTTTTGCTTTAAATTACCTTAAACATGATAAATCATTTTGATACAGGCAACTGCAGAGTAGGCTACTGGAACTTCATGAGGCTCACAACAAGATAAAGCTTCTTGAAGAGGAAAGGGCAGAGCAGGATAAAGAGGTGAGGTCCGGTCTTTGCTGGTGTTTAATTATCTTGTATTTGTACAATGAATTTTAATTATCTTGTATTTGTTTTCTAAGAACCAAATTTTGACAATTTTTGCATATCATGAAGATCAAACAATGCAAAGAATACATCTCTGAAATCGTGTTGCATGCTGAAGCCCAGACGTCACAGTACCAACAGAAGGTACAACGAATAAAATTTCTCTCACCATTCAATATATCCTTGAACACATCTTCCAGCATTCAAAATTCAGATAACTGAATTCTTTTCTGTCAAATAGAGAGAATGAGATATGTATAATTAACCAAATTTTGACATTAAATAACCTTTTGAACAGTACAAGACTCTTGAGGCCATGGTTTGTGAAGTGAAAGAAGATAAGAGAAACGCAACATCAACAGCTGTGGCATCAGACAAATCAGAGAAAATCAGGACGAGGGGTTCCAGTTCGCCATTCAGATGCATTTCAAGTTTGGTTCAGCAGATGAATACGGAGAAGGAACAAGAATTGTCTTCGGCCAGGCTTCGGATTGAGGAACTAGAGAATCTGGCAGCTAGCCGGCAGAAGGAGGTTCAGCACACCCTTTGCTTAGTTTCCCTTTCTCAAACACTTTTGTAGGCAAAACCGCTAAAATTTGACACAACTGTTAACCATCAGAAGAGTATTGATTTTATTGAAATATGCTCTCAGGTATGTTTGCTGAATACTAGGCTGACTGCAGCAGAGAGCATGACACATGATGTCATTCGGGATTTACTTGGTGTCAAATTGGACATGACTAACTATGCAGTAAGTCTCCGTCACTTATAAGTGTTAAAACTTCATAGCGGCAATTCTCATTTGTTTTGTTTCTTTTGGTATCATCTAGAACTTGATAGACCAATATCACGTTCAAAAACTAGTAGAAGAGGCTCATCAGCAAACAGAAGAATTCCAAGCAAAGGTGACTATAACTGATTTTGTTTTATTTATTTAACTTTGTCTTCCTTTTCCCTATCGTCTTGTCTGTAGACCCAGCTAATTGATTTTGGCATCATCTCAGGAGCAAGAAATTCTCGGCTTAAGGAAGCAGATAGATGATCTAATGGAGGAAAGACAGAGGTTAGACCCATTTCGATACACCACTTTCGAGTTGCGACCATAATTTTTTTTCCAATTTTTATAAGTTTCCCTCCTTTTGATTACAACTTCTGTAACTTGCAAAAACCAAACTTACTATTGAATCATTGATGTAATTGCTGTAGGGTCGATCTTTTAACAGAAATTAAAAAAAACCAATAAGCAAACAACAACCTGCAAATGAGTACCGTAGCAGAAAATTGTTCAAATCACATATAAGTTTCATTTCATTACCCAAATGCCCACATCTGGAACAAGAAAAACAAGAATCATTGTAGCATCCTTTTTATTCTTGTTTGTTTTTGCTCAAGTTAAAAGCAAAACTTCGTCTTACGACGTGAATTCATGCCGCTACATTCTTCACTTTTTCTTATTTGAAATTTTGCTATTGCAGTTGCATATCCGAAATAGATAAAAAGGAAGAAGATATGATGACTGCTCGGACGACATTACAACAACTCCAAGACAGAGATCAAATGCTTTCTGCACAGAATGAGAAGTTGAAGGTGGATAAGACCAATCTGAAGCGGAGGGTGGCGGAGCTGGATGAGATGGTAAGAACAATTCTTGGAACACCAAAAACACAGCAGCAGCAGCCGCCAATTCACCGCACATCCAAGACCAAGGCATGTTTTTCTCCACGTAAATGAGTTTTTTACGGCAACGGTAACTTTCAACTAACGTGCCATGGCTTTTCTTGATCAAGCAGAACAGTAGCTCATTGAAGTTGCATGAGGTTGATTACGCCAGGAGACTGGAACAGTCCGAGAAGCATCTTTCTCGCGTGAATGGCGAACTTGCTCAATACATCAAATCTGGCAGCAGCAGTGGCACCGGTGGTGGACATTCACGAGACAAGCGTTTCGGACACACGTCGGAAACGGACTATAGGTGAGTGTTGTGCTGTGCAACAGAAATTAATTCGACTCTTATCGTTCTTCAATTTGGTAAAATCCATAATGTTGTTGGCCAACAGAAAGCAGAAGAATTGAGTCTGGATGAAGTCAAATGCCGCAGATTCACTCGTCTGTAAAAGTACATATTTTTGGATAATTCGTGGTGAATTTAAAGGTAAATATTAAAAAAGAAAGAAAAACTCCAATACTTGTTATGTGTGACCATAATTTCTCTTGGATTATAAATTCACTTTTTAACAGTTCGATATATTTTGCAGATTATTTCAACAGCACATGCGAACAAGTCTCACGCAACCCAGCTTGTGTTTCTTCATTGCTTTATATATATATATGTACGTGTATATTTAATTGCGCTACTTAGCAAGTGTGGAAAATAAATAAATAAAAATAATTGATGTGACATTTTAAGATTCATACAGCCAACCTCACTTCTGCTAAGGCAAGACTTTATTGTTTGATTTGATGTTCTAAGCACGAAACATTGTTTGATTCTTTGTTAACTGAAAGCAGGTAATGGAAGAAGAATTGAAGTGTAGGGCTGACCTGAGCTAGGCCAAGTTAGGTATCGCAATGTGCTCTCCGTAATTTAGAATTGAAGCAGGTGGATTACGAAAACTAATGGAAAACCCCAAGGTAAACTGAAACTGTAACATATAGCACCATGGGCAATTTTACGAAAATTAATGAAATAAACCAAGGTAAACTTGTCAACTGCTATGGTATTTTGACTATCAACCGTAGAAACTAGGTCACATAAAACTTGACTACTGGTTAAGTAAGGAAAAAGGAAAGTGCGAGCCATATACAATTCTGCCTACCCCCATTTCTCCTATCCTTCCTGCAATTGACACAATTTCCCAAACAGAAAAAAACCACGACGGTCGTAACATACAGGTGAAAAAATTACGGGTAGGGCAAAGAAATGTCTTACAGCCTTTCGTTTACTCCAATCAGTTACTTGACATGGTGGAAGTTGATCGTTGACCTTCATTGAGTGAACGCAGAATTTCATCTATGACTTGTTGGTTGGAACTTTCATTTTGATAAGAGGCCTGGTTCTTCCCGTCAGTCATCTGTTGATAATACAGATATATATATATATATATATATATATATATATATATATATATATGAACTTCGATTAATAACCAATCCAATTTCACATAAGCAAACAAAAAAACTATAACTTGAAACAGAAGGAAGCTCTTCTAGTTGGATAAATTATTCCTGCGAAAACAGGAGGAAGCTCTTCTAGTTGCCATGAAAAATGTTGATTTATCTATAATTGTGCATGTGCGTGTATATTTATAAATGCAAATACAATGAAAAATTACCTCAAGTTTCTCAAAGTTTGAAATTAGCCTCATATACTGTTCACGAGCTTCAGGCTGACGAGCCATGAACTGTACCCTTGCAAGAGCTTTCTCAACCCCAGCAAATTTCTGCTTCCGACTGACACTAAGAAATTCATAGTCATCATATTTTTTAACCTCTGAGGATGCATCTTCAGTAGGCTTTTCCACCCGAAATCCTCGCAGACCAGTTCTTCTTCACCTCCAACGCAGTATAACCTTTTCCAATATACCGACAGACCACAAAACCTTTTTGTAATTCTTCCGGACCTGATGTCCCCTCACATGAGCCTAAAAGTGACAAGCAGAATCAACGAAAATTTAGAGCATCGACAAAACTCCAGATAAAGTACACCCAAGTCCCACAAAATATGGTCACAGTTTTTCAAAGAAAGGATAACTGTGACACGTTGTACTGCGAACATGCAGGGCCAAAAAATGCATTGTCAGTCCATGCATGTCCACAATTCCAAAACATTGGCTTGGAAGATAATAAAGTTAGCAATGACATACACATCAAGAATTAGGTATCAAAAAGATTGAGATACCTGAATTTTAACAATACGGTCACGAATCTTCAGATAATCCTTTCTTCCCTTCCATCCACGATAGTTTTGTTGAATCTTCAGAGCTGCTGCGACATGCAGATAATCTTCATAGTGAGCGAACTTCTGGACTCTCTTCAAGGAATGACGTGCAACAAGGTCCTCAGATCGAACTTCAGAAACATCTGTTCTACTCTTGGTTAACTGTCTCTGACGGAATGAACGAGCTTGGAAAGCTTCTTGAATTAGAGCAGCAGCATGAGCTGATTTCCTAACAGCTGCTATAGGGTTTTTGAGAGAATATTGCTCATCTACTGGAGCAGATGCAGGAACTTCTGCAGTCTGATTGGCGTTCTCAGCTGCAATAGTTGCGGTAACATTGCTCATTATGTTCTCATTCATGGTCAACAACTCTAGGTGACTTGTTAAATCCGCTTCTGCCAAATATCCAGCAATCCCTTTATGCCCTCTACTCGAGGCTAGATCAGCAGCAGTTGGTCCGCCTGAAATATCGACGTTGGGTCCTCGACGGCTCCTGGAGTGGCACCTAATCGAAGTAACGTGATGACAGTTTCCTCTCTGTAAAAGGGTTGAAAAAAACAAGAGACTAGTGTTACATACAGATCTATTCATGTTGCATAAATAAAGTATTAAGATGGCATGGCTGACCCGTTTACCCATCCTCAGAAATGGTAAGATAACATTCACTTAACCTTATATACTAAAGCAATATTAAGAGAAGAATGAGCCTAGACATACAGTATTTGAATTTAATACTAATCACTCCGTATAAAGTGCATGCAGATGATGAATATGATTGGATATAAAAGAGAAGAATCTATAACAGCAACCCTACCTTCCAAAATATGATGCCCAGTGAAGCCCCGTTCTGCCGCGAGCATCTCTGAAATTGGGACTGACGCCTGCAGCAATTATGGGACCTATGGCCCACTTGTAACCAAGAGCAGCCGTCAAATGTAGAACACCTTGGCCTTCATTATCCAGAACATGTGGTCCTTTGCCTCCTCCATGAATTTTACAGACTAGCCATTCACAAAGTCTATCCTTCAACAAATTCTGAATCAAGACATCCCTACGGCTCAAGTGATCACTTTTGCATGACACAGAAGCCCCATCAATTGTTACCCAATCACTTTCACTGTTGCCTTGCATTGAAAATATGGAACTTTTGAGCTTACACTTGTCACAATCTGGAACAGCACATATCAACCACTTCCTCTTTGAGCCCAAGCTCAACAATTTTGCTAGTCGTATCTGAAAGTGCAATTCATCATCTTGTAAGTTGTTGATAGCTATTCCAAAGGGTTTTTTGCGGTATTCAAACTCCCTAATCTCACTGCAGGCTAACCTATTTCTGCCGGTCACATAGAATGGAACACGCCCAGGAGCATGCAAAGGAGTTTGACATCTAATGGCATTGTTAGATAGAATTTCAGCAGAAACTTCTATTTCACCAAACATGCATCCCCAATTAGTGTCAGCAGAATCCTTCTTGCTTCCCAGAAAACTACCAACTATTAAAACCTGAGAAGGACGAGAGGAAAAAACTGAACAATGTCTACGTATAGTGTACAATTTTCTAGAAAAATAAAATAAAAATAAAAACACAAACTCTATTAGCATGTATACATACCTTTGTTTCAGTTCCCGAATAAGCCCAATCTGGCGAAAAATCAGAAATACTAAATAGTTGTTATTGGGAAAGAAAGGGGCCCAGTGGATCTATATCCAACTGCATATGGTGTGATAAACTGGATACTTCCTTATCACCACTCTCAGCATCAAATGTACTCCAGTAATTACCAGAGTCAGAAGCCATCAAGGAATCATCACAATCCACACCAATTTCTTTATCCATCCATCTCCCAAAGCTGTCTAGTTTCTTCAGTTCCACATTACGCACCACCATCTCTATAATTCTCTCCGACTTGGTCGGAAGGAGTTACTACAATCTGAGGATCAGTCTAATCTTGAACCTGAGGATGAAGCACATCGAAGACATGCTCCCTTGGCACCTGCAAGAAGGTTCAAGTATCACTAAGGAAATTCCCACCACACGAAACACTAACCTTAAAAAATGAAGTACAAAACTTGAAATAGAAAAATAAAACAAGAAGAAAAGAAATTCAGACAATCTGATACTTGAGTTTCAGAAGTAACAAATTAGTATGGTCAACGTTGAAGAAAGTTTAGGGTCCACCATAAAACCAATTGTCAATATGGGGAGTACCCCAACTCCTTATAAGGTCCCTTCTTTCCCGATCCGGGATTCATACTCTCAACATGAAAATAATTGTTTATACATCACATATCACCGCATAAAGAGATGGAAAGGAAAAGTGTGGATGACTGAACTTGTCATCAACCTCATGGACATTCCATAATGCACAAAATAGCATTATATAACAATTTTCCTCATGCATGGATAAGTATGATCTGTGGAATAGGGACAAGTACTCCACTTAGCCATTAGCCCTGACCATAAACAATCCTGGTAGGCTCAAATCAATTCTCATAACTTCCTTTATTAAAAGTTTTAAGTTCAATAAGATATCTAAATGGAATGATTGGTCTTGTTTATCTTCAACAGTGTAGTAGTGTATTGTGGTAACTTATAACACTAAAGGGGGTTCTGAGCATGTGAGTGCAAGTGTCACATTCATATGCAATACTGTTGAAATTTGAATTCTACTCATCAATCTCAAAAATAAAGATGCATATGCATACAGTCTACACCAGAGCACTATCTCATAAAATGAAATATAACATTTTATAGGAAACTAAATAAAATTAGATATAGACAGTGGGCAGGAAAGTGACTGTAGAAAACAGACCTGATCTTCTCTTCGAGAAGGTGCTGAGACAATTTGGACATCTATGTTAGTGGTCAACCTATCTTCGCAAGTTACATCATTGACTCCACTACGAACATCCACTCTAGAATTGGTTAGCTTATTAGTTATCAAGTCAACTCCGTTAGGTTCTTCAACAAAAAAGTTTTGGGCATGCATGCTGTGCTCATTTCTCGTTGAGCTATCCATTCCGTGCCAGACAGATAATCCATCACCATGATCAAATTTAGGTCCACCATACCACGTACTAGAGGGATCCCTGAATGACTCAGGAAATCCTGAAAAGCACCAGAGACACCTGGTCACATATTTCATTTTTGGAAACTTATTATTGCAAAAGATAAATTAAAATCATTGAAACAAATGACTTTTATATGTGTAAAAAAAGATTACTCTAAGTTTCATCTATATAATGGGGAAAAGAAAACATAAAATAGGACCTGATAGAGGTCTAGAAGCATAGTTCGATACAATGGATGATGCATGTTACTGTTAAAAGACCAGAGACAGTAAAATGTGACCAGGGAGCAGAAGGGAAAACTATGTGATGATACGTTTTTCTTTAAGAGAATGGAACCATGGAATGTCCAGCCGTTCCAGGTAAAAGTAGAAACAAAAAAAGAAATTGCAAGACTGATACAACGAATCAAACACAAATGAAAAGGCATCTGCAGCTATGCATTTTACCTCCAATTTTTTGTGGACGCAGAGAAGCATTATGAAAAATGGAACCAAGCATCGGTTGCTCAATAGATGAAATTCCTG